TTCAATTTTTTGTATCAGGATCTGTTTGGGGGAAACCCAGTCTAAGATACTCCCATGAATCCATGCATCGAGTCATCTAAAACTACTGTAATTATATAGTGTGGTATTGGTGCAAAGGCATCAACTGAAGACCCAGATCGGGACAGAGCCCCAAACCCGACACTTTTATACATGAACACTTGGTTAGAGCAAGGGAGGAGCCTCGGGAGAGTGGGAATCCACATAAATACCTGTCACGCCATCTCCAATGGAGCCCGCGTGAGATCCTCCGTGGGTTGAGGCTGAAACTTCAAGGAAGGTTGCCTCTTGGAACTGGCTGTGCTAAAAAACATGTTGTGCACTTGGCGTGCTTTTACTTGCTATTATCTTTCTGACTGTCACTGTATCAAGGGCTTTCAAGGGGCCCGGAAAGCACCTGGTGTCCTTGACACCGATGTCACTGCCTTTATTGAAATCTTTTAATTATCCTAGTATGCAGGAAGAGTTCTCAGGAACTCAATCACCTGAGACAACTTTGCCTCCAGAAGCATCACTATTAATGAAAGCCATTTTAGACGCAGCAAGAAGCAGTCAAGCAGAATTAATGCTGGAAAGTCCAGGGAATAACAAATTTCTAGAAGGAAAAGGGAAAGGGAGTATGTTTAAACTTCCAGAACCAACAGATGAGCCTTTACCATATACAGGAGCCTCTGATGAAGAGGGACATAGATGGGTAAATATAGATGGAAGAAGGGTTTCTTGGTATTCATTACAATTCATGGATAAATTGGCAAGATCAAGACCACCTTGGTGTCTTTTGATAAAAAATCAACAAGAGAGCTGGGAAGGATAGTTACATAGATCCCTAGCATGGGATGATTTTTAGGATCTATGGAATTAAAAAATAACTTAGAAGCCCTATGGCCCACCATAAATGAGAAAGGAATAATATCAAATTAAAGTAAAGTTAAAAATGTAGTATCAGGCACAGTTGATATTGAAAGTACTTGGTGGTTTAAGGTCATTCTGACCTGAAATCACAAAGCTAAGCAGAATTCTGAGTGCGTAATAAAAACTGGTAGTAGAAACCACAGTATCATAAAGCAGGAATTTGCTGGCTGGTACCAGGCTGATAAGATAAAGAAATGTGTTTTGGCTATACATGATGGTTGGCAAAACTGTTTCACTTTTATCTCTGAAACTGAAAATGATGAATTACAGAACAGTCATGCTGTTAATGAAATTTTGCAGTCTTTGCTGTATATATCTCAAACCTTGCAGCTGCACAAATACACTCAGACCTTCACCAAGCTCTTCTGTGTCTGTCTGTTTGCCACTCGCCGAATCCTTGCCCACTCTCTCGAGGACCCTGTTCCCATCGGACTGAACTGCTTCCAGTCTGGGCTGGTCCGTTGCAAATACCCATGAGAAAAATAAACTGACTCCCACTCTAAAGACAAGAATCAATTCCAGCCGTGCACATGTGAAAGACGGTTTTCTGATAACATAAGAAAATATCTATCTTTAAGATGGGGATGATTTCTTCAAGGCACACAAATAGCACTAAACTTGAAGCAAGTTTCTCAACTTTTCACTATTGACATTCTAAACTAAATAAATTCTCGTTACCAAAGCAGTAGCCTTCATCTCTGTCCACTAGGTGCCAGCAGATTCCACCTCTTGGCACCCATTGTGACAAAAAAAAATGTTTCCGAGACATCATCCAATGATAAGGATATTGTCAAAGGCTTAAGAGGGAGGGAGAGAAAACAGGATGCCCAATTAAGTTTGAACTTCAGACAAACAAGAAAAAATATACATACACACATATATGCACGTTTGTGCATATATAAAGAGAAATATACATACATATATATATATGAAAAATAGTGAGATATCTCTTTTCACTAGATCTGGTGGCTCAGGCCTGTTATCCCAGGTTCTCAGGAGGATGTGGCAGGAGGATCACAAGCTCAAGGCTACATGGGCAACTAGGATCCTGCCTCAAATTTAAAAAAAAAAAAAAGTTTATGGGGCCAGCAAGACGGTACCTGCAGCCAAGCCTGATGACCTGAATTCTATCTCTGCAACCCACAGGGTAGAAGGAGAGACTGACTTTCACAAGTTGTCCTCTGAGTTCCACGTGCACACTGTGGTACGTGTACACATGTGCACAAGCACATATACATGCACACTAAATGGATAAATAAATGTAATTTGTGTTTAAGTTTTTAACAGAGGGCTAGGGCTATAGTTCATGTATAAGGCCCTAGATTCAACTGGAAATGTATATTTTTTGAGGAGTGGGTGAAATCACCCCATAATTGAGAGCTATTGCCTTGAAATAAAAATTATTTGATAAGCTGGACTACAAGAAATATTTCTGTTCATTAAAAAACATCTTTAACTGGAAAAGAACAGTCACAGAACGGGAGACATTTGCATCATATATTGTCAACACAAAAATGAGAATACAGAAGTTTGAATTAGAAATGATGGTTTCCTTTGTTGAGTGAGTTTAAGTTTGTTCCACTACCAAGAAGAAATGTTCATGGGCAACTTAATTACATGAAGTTTTAAGCTGCATGTGGTAGCTCAAGCCTGTATTCCCAAAACTTGGGTGGCTGAGGCAGTACAATTGCCCTGGGTTTGAAGCCAAACTGGGCTACAGAAATAGACCTTGTCACAAAAAAATAAGTTTGGGACTGGAGCTGGTTCAGTGGTTAGAGGCACTGGCTTCTCTTGCAGAGGGCCTGGGTTTGGTTCCCAGAACCCATGAGGCAGCTAATAACCATCTGTAACTTCAGTTTCAGAGGATCTGATGCCCTCTTCTGGCCTCCACATGAGTGCACTTACATGTAGATAATACATGCGTACATATAAAATAAAAATAAACGGGCTGGAGAGATGGCTCAGCAGTTAAGGGCATTGGCTGCTCTTGCAAGGGACCTGGGTTCGATTCCCAGCACCCACATGGTGGCTAACAACCATCTGTAACTCCACATCCAGGGGATCTGATGCACTCTTCTGACATCCACAGGCATTGCATGACACGGGTGGCACACTTAAGTACATGCAGTCAATACACTCGTACACATAAAATAAAAATAATATTTTTAAAATAAAAATAAATAAATTCAGGGCTGGGTGTGCACACCTTTAATCCCAGCACTTGGGAAGCAGAGGCAGGCAGATCCCTGTGAGTTCGAGGCCAGCCTGGTCTACATAGTGAGTTCCAGGACAGCTGGGGCTACAGAGAGACCCTGTCTCAAAAAGACAAAAAGAAAATGTTTTTGAAAAAATAAAGTTACATAAAGTTTTGCATATCTTAAATATGACTATAAATTTTGAAACAAATTTTTGTTATAAAATATTTCAGACAATACCAAGAAAAATAAAATGAATACCATGTACCCATTATTTGACCTAAGAAATAAGAAGTTCAAGTTCCCTGAGCACTCCTCCCTGATCACACTTTACCTCCTCAGGGAAAGGCTGCCCTGAGTTTCCTCACCATCACTCTCATGCATTTATTGTTACTTTCAAAAGTCAATTTATTGCTGGGCATGGTAGTGCATGCCTTTAGTTCTTGGGAGGCAGAGGCAGGTGGATCTCTGTGAGTTCAAGGCCAGCCTGGTCTACATAGTGAGTTACAGGCCACCTGAGGCTACAGGGAGACTCTGTCTCAAAAAGACCAAAAAGAAATCAATTTATTTAAAATAGCACAGTTGGGGCTGGACAGATGGCTCAGCAACTAAGAGCACTTGGTGTTCTTGCAGAGGACCTGGGTTCAGTTCCCAGCACTGCAGGGCAGCTAATAATGTTCCCTAACTCCAGTTCCAGCAGATTCAACACCTCCTTCTGGATTTTGTGGGCACTGCACACATACATACAGGCAAAATACCTACACACACAAAAACACAAATAAAAATTTTAAAGACTAAAAATAGCATAGTTTTTCTTTAAATCTTAAAATAGCATTATACTTACACAACTGCCTTTTTTAAAGGTTTGTTTTTATTTTATGAGTGTTTGCCTGCATGTACGTACATGCACCATGTGCATGCTTGGCACCCAAGGAAGCCAGAAGGTGTCAGATTCCCTGAAACTGGAGTTACAAACAGTTGTGGGCCCCCAAGTAGGAGCTTAGAACTGAGCCCAGGTCCTCTCTGCAAGAGCAACCAGTGTTCTTTACCACTGAGCTATTTCTCCAGACCCTGCAACTTCTTTTTTTTTACTATTAGAGTCGTGAGGAAATACCAAGGTAAGCATAATTCTGGCTAAACCAACTTAACAGTGTCTTTGCTGAAGACAAGGTATGATGGTTAATCTTCACTACCAACTGGGTTTTTGGAGACTGAGGAAATGATTCATAAAGGCATAAACCATATGGGGTGAATTGGGAAGTAGAAAACGGAAATCAGGGGCTGGAGAGATGGCACAGCAGTGCTCTTGTAGAGGGCCCAGGTTCAATTCCCAGCACTCACGTGGCAGTTAACCATCAAAAATCCCATTCCCGGGGATCAGATGCCCTTTTCTAACCTCCGAGGTTAACTGGAGAGAAAAGAGTGCTGGAGGATTATTTTATATGAGGAGAAATTTGGAACTATACAGGTGACAGGGAGAGGCAGAACAGTAAGAAAAGAGCAAATGGGGTGAAGAAAAAGAAATCCACAGTAAGCCGGGCATGGTGGCGCACGCCTTTTAATTCCAGCACTCGGGAGGCAGAGGCAGGCGGATCTCTGTGAGTTCAAGGCCAGCCTGGTCTACATAGCGAGTTCTAGGACAGCTGGGGCTACAGGGAGACCCTGTCTCAAAAGACCAAAAAATAGAAAAGAAAAGAAAAAGAAATCCATAGTGGTGCTGACACACCAAACTGCACAAATATCCAGACTGTGCAGTTCCGGAGGCTAGAGCTCCGGGTCTGGATCGCTGTCGGATTCCTTGGGAGTACGCTGTTCTGCACGTCCTCCTCTCCTTCTGCCTTCCACCTCCCTTCCCCCTGTGATAAGTACTTCCGGGCCACGGGCGGGAGCATGCACAGACTCGAATTACGCATGTGCAGTGTGTTCAGCACTTACCCCACGCCCGCTGGTCCCCCGCGCTATGCGGGTGCTTGTGGGTGAGGGCGGGCAGGAAGAGTCGGGGCGGGCCCAGGGCTCGCCCTCCGCCGCCGGCGACCTGGCCTCGGTCTCTCCGACCCTCCGGGGTCCCCCCTTGGTCACCCCTGCTTGGAGGGGAGGGGCGAGAAGCCTGGGGTCCGGCGGGGCCGCCAGCCGGGGTGCGGACGGTCTGCCTCCTTTCCCGGGGTCTTTACAGTTTGTGTTCTCCCCCCAGGTGGCGGGTCGGGGTTCATTGGGACCGCTCTGACCCAGCTGCTGAAAGCCCGGGGCCACGAAGTGACGCTGGTCTCCCGACAGCCTGGGCCCAGTCGAATCACGTGGGTACGTCCGGAAAGCTGGATGGGAAGGCAGTTTGCACCGGATGGACGGGATCTGTGAGCACTGTGCTTTCTTTGACAGAATGAGCTCTCTAGGTTGGGGCTGCCCGGCTGCGATGTTGTCATCAACCTGGCTGGAGAGAACATCCTCAACCCTCTGCGAAGGTCAGCAGGGCCATAAAGCGGATGTCCTCCGCAGCCCCGGGAGGAGAGGGCTGCCTCCTGTGAGCTGGCATGGTGGAGCTGCACCGTGCACATGCCCATCCATCCCGCTAAGAAAACCCACTGCTGTGGCTAAATACACATAGTCCGTGTCTATCAGGGAGGGAAAAGGTGTCCTTCTTGGGCGTCCTGAGTAATGCATGGAGACTTAAGTCAGTTGTCTGGCTGACTGGAATGAGAGCAGGTGGGTGTAAACGGATAGGGCAGGATGAGCAGTTGAGATACGGGTGCCTGTATGTACTTTTTTCCTTATTTCATTTTTCTCTGCAGATGGAATGAAACCTTCCAAAAAGAAGTCCTTGCCAGTCGCCTGGACACCACCCACATGCTGGCAGAAGCCATCTCCAAAGCTTCACAACCTCCCCGGGCTTGGATACTAGTCACAGGCGTAGGTATGTCTGCAGATCACCAACCTCTTAAATCGACCAGGGAGAAGGGGGTAGCAGAGAGAGTAGCTCCAGCCCCTGTGGCTAGCGGTATACCACCATCTCCACCACCCCAGAGCACTGACCTTTCCCATTTTCCAGAGTAACCTTGAAGCCCTGCCGCTATGCAGATCTTTCCTGACCTCTGTATTTTCACTGGTTAGATGACTATGAGGTACTTGTGAGAGAAGAAAGGCAGAAAAGGATGGGAAGTGGGCTCATCCGGAGCCTGAGTGCTCGGAGCCCTCACTGGTGGCCCTCTCTCCTAGTGCTGTAGAAAAGCCTGCCTACTCCCAAGACCGTTGCTTTTTGTACCACAGTTCTTTATGAAGAGTTCTGAATTGTCGTGTCACCTTTGGGACGAAATACTTGCAAACAGCCACTATTCTAAGTGTTCAATACATACTGTATTATTTAATCCTCACAACAGCTTTATGAGGTAGGTACAAATACTCCCATTTTAAAGATGCAAAAATTCCACAAAGTCACAGAGGTCGCGAATGGTGGAGCTTGGGTGGCCTGGCACCCAAGTTTCTGTCCTTAACCACTGCATTTTAGCAGCCTCTGGGGATAGCCCTACAACCAAAGGCCACACTTCCAGGCAAGAACAGATCAAGTCATAGACAAGGTCAAGGGGAAATTTCCACGGCACTTCCCCTGTGGAGATAGAAAGGGTCAAAGAGGGTAAGGCCAAGAAAATAGGGCCAGGCAGGACAAGGACACCCAGAGCACATGAGTGCTATTCTCCCACAGCTTACTACCAGCCCAGCCTGACTGAGGAGTATGACGAAGACAGCCCGGGAGGGAACTTTGACTTTTTCTCCAACCTGGTAACCAAATGGGAAGCAGCAGCCAAGCTTCCTGGAGATTCTACACGCCAGGTGGTGGTGCGTTCAGGTGAGAGCCCGGGGAACAGGCAAGGTGGATTGATTTCTCTGGGCTGAGCTTACAGGGCGAGGATGCCATCACTCCAGCCAACCTGCAAGGGAAGGTTCCAAGGACAGCCACAGCTCTCAATTTTTTTCAGTTCCAGGTCCACACGGGGTTTAGAAAGGAGGAAGGGGCAAAAATGGAGAGTAGTTGGGCTGTTTCAAGGCTAAGCACCACCCCTCCCTTGCCTGCTTTTAGGGATTGTGCTGGGCCGTGGGGGTGGTGCCATTGGCCACATGCTTCTGCCCTTCCGCATGGGCCTGGGAGGCCCCATCGGCTCAGGTCACCAGTTCTTCCCCTGGATACACATTGGTGACCTGGCTGGGATTCTGAATCATGCCCTTGAAGCAAACCACGTCCAGGGAGTGCTGAATGGAGTGGCTCCAGCCTCCACCACCACCAATGCTGAGTTTGCCCAGGCCCTGGGTGCTGCCCTGGGCCGCCCAGCCTTCATCCCTGTCCCCAGCACCGTGGTACAAGCTATCTTTGGGCAAGAGCGGGCCATCATGCTGTTGGAGGGCCAGAAGGTTATCCCACGGCGGACACTGGCCACTGGCTACCAGTATTCCTTCCCAGAGTTGGGGGCTGCCTTGAAGGATGTCATAGCCTAAGGAGGGAGGGAGACCCAGGGCAGGGGCTGAGACCTGTCCCTGTACGGAGGCTTCCTGTTAGATACTGTGAATCCAATCCGCTCGGGTGGTCTTGTACCTGACATCAGAAGCCATCGAGGATGGCATCTTGGGATTTCTCCCCTCGCTTTCCTCTCACTGCTCTGTTGTTCCACCCTGAGAAACTCCAGTCTCTAGGAGTTGTAACGTCATCAACTCCTGGTAACAACAATTTCCAAGTTTGGTTTCTCTGTGTCACACTGCTGCCCTAGTTCTCCTTTATGCTGTGTAGAGAATGGTCTACAGTTAGGACAATAAAGGTTAATTACATCGCTAGCTTCAGCTCATCTCTTTGGTGTAGGTTCTCCCGGAATTTATCTCAAGAACTAACACCCTAGATGACTCTTCTTCATTACAGTCTCTCTCCGCCCTTTCCTTTCTTGGTCCCTCTTGCCAAATGAGCTGGTGAGACACATGGTCATGATAGAGAACAGAAGATAAAGGATCACCTGACCACCTGTTCAAAGGATGTCGGCAGACAAGGCCCCTCAGTAGGTCAGTCTTCAGTGTGTCACCAAATGGCAGTGGATTAATAAACATGTGAATCCCAGCTCATCAATGCAGTAAGACAAAGCTGATATCCCTGTCTATAAGAAGCCTAGAATTTGCCTCACAGTTGCTTGGGAGACATGTCAGCCTTCCAAGGCTCTCAGCATAAAAGGGGAGAAGGTGCTTCTCACCTACTGTACACCCACCATCACAGAAAGTGAAAAGAACAGGGAAGCAATCACAGACTCAAACCCAACCCTATCGCAAGAAAAGGACTCCCAAGTGTTCCTCTAGGGCCTTTTATCTACCTAAAGGTATGGTATCAGCCACAACTTAACCAGAAGCCGTTCCAGCAGCCCCCACGTGAGACCATATGAACCAGTCTCCTTTTCCCCTGGCAGAAGGAGTCACTCATTTCCCTGACTAACCTGTCTTCACTACAGCTGCCTCCAGCCTGGGTCAGTCTGCCTAGCATTGTATAATTCACCCAGTGAGACAAAGGCAACAACATTGGGACCTAGGGACCCTCTTCCTGATCACGGAACTCCACAGGCAGTATTCAAACCCCTGTGTCACTCAGGGAGTAAGCCAGGTTCTGAAAGGGATCTTATTCAGGACTTGCTGCAGGTCCCAAACACAACTGAACCGAGGATCACCTTTACCCCTGTCTGGTCCTGGACTCCAAGTTGACTAGCTCTGTATTATTCCTGGGGAATGACTGGCCTCAAATGTAAAAGTAACAGAAAAGCACATTAGGCTACACTAGAGGAAGTGATTAATATGTCCAGGTAAGGAATGGGCTACCTTGCAAGTAGTAAATTCCCTGACACGGGAAGAGTTTAAGCAGGTACAAGACAGTGACCTGTAGCATTCAAGATAGGACAGGACAGTGGAGCTAGTCTGTGACCAATCAGGTATTTTCCCGCTCCGATGCTTCGGCTTCCATCTCCCAGAAAATTGTTCCTTCTAGATGGAACCCCTGCCGCCCTCCGTCACTGTACACACAGCAGAGTGTGTCTTGCCTAATGCAACCCGGGTCTCCTATAAAGAAAATTCTAGGTAGATCCCTTTAACATTGTCAGTGAAAAACAGCCTTTCTGACCCATTTGTTAATCTGTAAACAAGCACTTGAATGCAACCAGCTGGCTGCCATTTATAGGAATCCTGAGTGTTCAGATAATGCAAACAGTCAGCACTAACTTAACTCTTTTGTAAATTCGGATGCTGAAGGACGTTGGAAAGGGATGCAGCCATTCCAGGGCATTTTCTACTAAAGGTTCAGTGTTAAAATCAAGGGTGTAGTAGCCATAACAGGGCATGTGGCAGTGAAGATGCAGTGTTAAAACCCAGGGTGTGGGCTGTGGATGTGGAGAATGCACATCCCTGAAAGAGATTTCGGTTGGGGACCTGTGTAGCCACAGGCAGACACACCTGAGACCTGATCCAAGGACATTTCCTCCCAGGAGCTTACCTCTGTTTTGTCATTCCTCCTCAAAAAAAGTATTTTTAACGCCTTATTTATAGATATATGTAAAGGCCAAGCAACTCCGTCAAGGTCACAGACAGGCACAACTCAGACTGGAAGCCTGCTCCCCCACTGTCTTCCCTAGTGCTCTGCAACCCCACCGCCATGTACCCCCCTTAGCACTATAGCCCCCCCAAAACCCAGCATTCTCTAATACTCCCAGGAGAACTCAACCTGTCCTGGCCATTCAGAGCAGCAGCCTGAGGAAGAAAGGTCAGCTTTTTGGTCACTCCAGCCACCCTAACCTTCACCCAACTCAGCTTGGAGGTAGAACCAACAGTCTTGGTCTTCAGGAAGGAGCAGCCTCAACTCCCTACAGAACCCATGTGCAAAGACAAGGTTGAGAAGAGTGACCCAAACCTCCTGAGAGCTGGTTGAGGCCCTGACTCAAGGGTGAGTCACTTCATGGACCTGCCCCAAAGTACCCCAGGAAGAGTATTCCCACATGAAAATGCTCTTCCCTGGTACTTCCTCAAGCCAAAGCACCATCTTAGAATGAGTCTGGGTCAGAGTCTGAGCAGCAGAGGGACTGTCACACAAGGGGCTCACTGGGGGGAGGCTGGATCTAACAAGGCAGCAGTTATGCACGCAGGTAAGGCTCAAAAGTTGAGACTCAGCAGGGCCTCAGACAGCTGGTTAATATCCCGGCAGTATGGCTCCCGCTGCAGGATGAAGTCCACCTTGTGATCCTGACCCCAAAACACCTCCAGCAGCTGGCGCCGGAGCCGCTCTGTCTCTCGGGTCTTCCTAAGGCCACCACCACCTCTTTCCTCTTCCTTCCCCGGCTGCTGACTACCATGTTCAGCAAAGCCCCTAGAGGGACGCTGAGTCTTAGCAGAGCCCTGGTCCCTGGGAAAGAACAGAACAAGAACGGATAAGCATGTTGGAGAAAAATTAGCAGAGAGAGAGAGAGAGAGAGAGAGAGAGAGAGAGAGAGAGAGAGAGAGAGAGAGAGAGAGAGAGGGGGGGGGGGGAGAGAGAGAGAGACCCCAACTGCACTTCCTAATACCAGCTCTAGGAGAGTAATTCTGAAGTTTCCTAAAATGACCACTGAGCGGCAGTATCAACCCACTTAAGAGGAACCAGGAAGATGAAAACCCCGACAGGATGTGTATCTATTCTAGTCCTAAATGCAATCACTTGCTTAAAAAGCCAACAGAGGGTGTAGAGGTACAGCGGGCTCTCATACAAGCACCATCAAACATACTGATTAGGAGAAACAATGAAACAAGTTTCTCTCCCAACCAGAAAGTTCTGTGTCAGGATTCCCTGGGGAGCTTTTAAAGGCCAGCCCAGGCAACTGCAGAATTAAGCAGACCCAAACTGAGACACTTCCACCCAGGCCTGCAAAGAGGAGCAGACCTAGCGACACCTGCAGAAGTGAGGGCATTACCCGGCTGGTTTCTTCAGGAACTCATCCAGGGTGGGGCCCTTTCGTCCCAGTGGGTCATCAGGGACCATGAAGAGGTTTCCCACAAAGGTGAAGGGCAGCAAGCTGGATGAGGAAAAAGGAAGTCACAGAGATGTCCCTGCATCTGAGACCAAACCAACACCAGCAGATCATACTGGCTACCATCCTTTGAGGCAGCTTCAAATCCCTTCCGGGAATTCTCACCCAGAGGCTAGAGAAGAGCTGGTTTTAGACAAAGCTCTGAGTCTGTGCCCTATTCTCAAGGAGAAAGCTCCCTCACCGTTCTCTGATGATCGCCATCCACTTGTCAGACTCCTCTGCCAGATCCCGGAACTGGTCATTGGAGACAATGATCCCATCAGTCTCTTCAGCCAGCTTCACCATGAACCTGTCTCAAAAACCACAGAAACCATTCTGGGATTTTCCAAGGCTCCAACCACACAGTATGTCATCAACAACTATAACCCACTTCTGCTGATGGAAATCAATCCTCACCTCATTTATTTAAGCATGGGGGCAGCTTGCTGGGAACTGAACCTGGGTCCTCATAAACGCTAGGCAGGTGTTTTACCACTGAACTCTAAAGCCCAAAGAACTGTTTTTAAAAACTGAGAGAGGCTCAGGGCTGGAGAGATGGCTCAGCAGTTGGGAACACTTGACTGTTCTTGCAGAAGACCCGGGTTCCAACCCCAAGCACCCACATGGCAGCTAACAACTGTCCAAAAATCCAGTTCCAGGGGATCTGACAGCCTCTTCTGTTCTCCACGGGCATTGCACAACATGGGTGCACTAACCTACATACAAGCATAACACTCGTACACATAAAATAAAAAATTTTTTTTAAACTATTGAGCGCGGCTCTTGCTAAGGTACTCAATCTAGCCTTGAATTCACTCTGTAGTCCAGGAAGGCTCTGAACTGTCAGTCCTCCGCCTCAGCCTCCCAAGTGGCTGTGACCGCAAGCCTGTGCCCCTAGACTCAGCCCCAAGGCTCAGAGAGGAGGTAACAATGAATCCAAGGTAGTCTCCCAACAGCATCCGGTTTACCACAGCCCTTCCTGAACACTGTCGCCGCTAAGAGCAGTAAGAGCTACTAGCTGTGGCTGTCTCCCACCCTACCCCACCAGTCACTCACAATCTCCACCTTCCCTCTGAAAAGCCTTCCACTCCAGATAATTTCCGCAGCTTTTTTTTCCTGGGCCATAATTCAGACACTGCAACTGAGATAACACCTGGCCCCTAACAACTCACTTGCCTTATCTAACCATCTACCACCCTCCAGTCTTACCTGCTGTCCCCCAAGAAAGCATGTTCTCCTACACAGCACTCCTGCACCTGCCCTTCACCCCCACCCACCCCTAAGTGAAGGACCTTGCGCGAAGTCCACATGTCTAGGCCTGGGAACTAAGGGCCTCTAGAAACAATCTCCACGTTGCCCTGTAGCCTTCTCTCTTCCAGCATTCCTAATGTGCCCTCAACTCGAGCCAAAATCAATGAACACATTGCACTTTGCTCTCTGACTTTACTCAACACGTTAACTCTTGACAGGTCCTCTGACTTGTTCCTCAAACTGTTCCCTCCATCTCAAAATGGTCCCAAAGTCTTGATGATGAAAGCCACCTGAGGAACTTTAAAAGAAATAAATGCATGCCTGCAGGGCTGGTTATGCAACTCAGTCAGCAGACTGCTCACCTCACATGCACAAAGCCCTGAGTTCAATCTCTAGCACCACATAAACTGAGCTTAGTGACACACACCAACAGTCTCACCATTTAGGAGGTAAAGACAAGAGAACTAGAAGTTCAAGGTCATCTTCAGCTGTTCGATGAGTTCAAAACTAGCTTAGGCTACTTAGACCTTGTTTTTAAAAAAAAAACATAAAAATTAAAAATGTTAAGATAGGGCCAGACGTGGTGGCGCACGCCTTTAATCCCAGTACTCGGGAGGCAGAGGTAGGCGGATCTCTGTCAGTTTGAGGCCAGCCTGGTCTCCATAGTAAACCCAGGACAGCTGGGGCTACAGGGAGACCCTGTCTCAAAAAGACCAAAAAGAAAAAAATGTTAAGATATATTTTTAGCAGTTTTTAATTATGTGTATGGGGGGGGGGTGCCCATGAGTGCAATGCCCACAGAGGCCAGAAGAGGGCATCAGATTTCCCCAGAGCTGGAGTTACAGGTGGTTGTGAGTCACCAGGTGTGAGTGCTGGGAACTGAACTCAGGTCCTCTGAAAGAACAGTAAAAGCTGTTAACCACGTCTATCTCTCCAGTTCCAAAATTATTGTTTTTTAAAAAAGACACCTGGGACCTACTTTAGTAAGTTTGTTGTTTTGATTTTTGAGACAAGGACTCATGTAGCCCAGGCTTGCCTCCAATTCATTGAATAGCTGAGGCTAACCTCAAACTCCTGATCCTCCCATCTCTACCTAAGTGCTTGGATTTTATCATGCCCAACTCCCATTTTGGTGATTCTGAGTCACAGAGCAAGATTGATAAGGTGGTGGGCCATGGCCTTTCTAAGAGGTTTTAAGTCACGAGACCAGCTTATCCTATGTCTTTCCCAACCAACAAAAACTCCCAACCCTTTCAATTCTGTAGAATCCCAGTCAGAACAGGAGTCCCTTCCCTCTGAGTCCCTGTAATGTTTGATTTACAGTTTCACAGGGAATCAGGATTAGGCATGACAGATGTCTAGGAAACAAGCTGAGGGGATATGTGAAGCATACAAAAGGTGCTTCCTGGTTAAGTGGCTTACTCTGCTCATGACAGGATGTATCCTGCTTAGCAGCACTCATTCAGAGGCCTGTGCTGTGCAGCACTGTGCTGATTCCCAAGTCAGAATTCCCCATTTATACTATGTATCTACCAGGCCCTACAAAGCTCTGTATTAAAACTTACTCAATCTTCAACATCAATTCTCTTTCAGTGCTGATGTGGAAAAAATGTTACCATCTTGGGTAAATTGTGAAGTCTAGACTCAAAACAAAATAGCTGTACTTGGGAGGCAGCGGCACAAGATGCCCCAAGCTCAAGGCCAACCTGGCCTACCGATCAAGTGCCAGACCAGCCCAAGGCTATATAGTGAGACACAAGACCTAGTCCAAATAAATAAATAAATAAATAACATCAGGAGAAAGTGAAGTACCTTTTGTAAAGTACTATTTACCTTTAAGGAGTAAAAGTTAAGTATTTGAAAAGACAAAACATATAAGCACTGTATTAATTTTAATTGTCTACTAGACACAATCTGGAATCACTGGGAAGAGGCCCAGGTCAGAATGGCCTGTGGGCATATCTGTGGGGAATTATCTTAACAATGTTAATTAAGGTAGAAAGACCTGCCCACTGTGGGCACCATTCCCTAAACAGGTTATTCTGGATCCCATAAATGCAGAAAGCAAGCTAAGCACTAGCATGCATGCACCCACTGCTCTCTTCCCAAGTATGGCTGCAATGTGCTTCCTCAAGCTCCTGCCACTGTGACTTCCCAGCTCTCACAGTGGCATAGGACTGTCATGGAACTGTAAGCTAAAAGAAACTCTCCCTTCCTCAAATTGCCTTGTTTACATTTTTAAATTACTTATTTTGTGTTTGTGTGCACACATGTGACACAGCGCATATGTGGAGGTCAGAAGACAACTTGCAGGAATCAGTTCATTCTCTCTTTCTACCATGTGGGTCCCAGGGACTGAACTCAGGCTGTCAGACTCAGTAGCAGGTGCCTTTACTCACTGAGCCATCTAGCCAGCCTTTAAGCTACTTTTTGTGTGTGTGAAGATTTTAGAGAAAGAGAGAAAGAGAGAGAGAGTATTTTATGCGTGTATGTGCCCGTAGAGTCCAGAAGAGAGCATCGGCTCCCTGGAGCTAGAGTTACCGGCTGTTGTGAGCTGCCTGATGTGAGTGCTGGGAACCAAATGTAGATCCTCTGGAAGAGTAACAGGTACTCTTAGTCATGGAGCTGTATCTATCCAACCCTTAAGTTGCTTTTTATCAGAGTATTTTATCACAGCAACAGGAAAAGACACTAAAAAATGATTGGAAGCTGTGATTTGGAAACTGATTTTTTAAAACTGAATAATGTCCTAAGGAATAAGTATAGCTGGAAAAAGATTTAAAGAGCTGATTAGCTTTAAAATGTGTGTGCTTGCCATACCATATATGCACAAGTATGGCAGTAGCATATCCTATTTTTTCTATTTAATCTATATGGTCACTTGATTCTAACTTTCCTTTGTCAATGGACTTAACCACTTACCCTTTGTCTCTACCTCTATAAAACAGACATCATATTTTATGCAACACTTTTTTTTAGTTTATTGAGACAGGGTCTTACTTTGTAGCCTAGGCTGACCTAGAACTCACTATGTAGTTCATGCTAGCCTCACACTCATGGCAATTCTCCACCCTCAGCCTCCCATGTTTGTGTTGGGATTACAGACATGGGCTACCACACCCAGCTTCATGCAATTCTTAAAGGAACCCATGCAATAGTAAGCAGTGTGTGACTAGATTCTGGCTTAGCACCTGGGTGAAGCAAGCACATACCTTATCTTCTTTTCATAGTCACAAGGAGGGTGAATGAATGGAGAAGGGCCTGAGACAAAGAGGTGAATTCACTGAGAGATGGGGCCACAGAGAGAGCCAACCACTAGCGCGATTTGGTCTCCAAGTCAGATGTTCCGATTCTGTGTCTGGACCTTTCCACTATACTACGTTCTATAGAAACCTATTAGCCAGGGGTTGTGTTTGCTCATTTCATTTATTTTGAATGTTTATCTTTCCCAAAATGTTCAAGGAACTTCTCTATATATTTGGTAATTCTGTCACCTATTTATGTCACCAGCTTTCCCATTTCTCTATAAACCAGTAATTTTCTAGATAGTAAGGCACTTTATAGAAAAACAAGGTGTCGTTTAGTATGATGAATGAATGATGAGCAGGAAAACACAGTAGTCTACAGTCCATCTCATCTTACCTACAGAGCTGATGGACCTGCCAGTCATAAGGACACATGAACACTAACTATGTTCCTCTACTGAGGCTGGAAGACAGAGAGGTCAGGAGCTGCCACTCCAATTCCTGCTAGGCTCCTTAAATATCAAACTTGGGGCCAGGAGAGGAGTAAGTACCTGTCATCATAGGAGGAAATCCTCTTGCCATCCATGACTCGTGAGGGGGTGAGGGAAAGCAGACTGAGGGAGTACAGCTTTTGCAGGAAGTGACTCTCTGTAGGAAAAGAACACCACAACAGGGTTCTCCTCAAGGTGGAAACAGAGCCTCTCCCAGGACAGATGACAAGACCCAACTCACCTCTGACCTTGGAATCCTTACTGAAGCGCCACTGAGGCACAAAGACAGTTATGTCACGGTGCCCTCGGTCCCAGAAGTACTGCACGGCAATAGCGATGCCACGGCTTGAAAAGTAGTGCTGGAGGCCATGCCTGCAAATAAAGAGACCCAGCAGAGCAGGCTGGCACCCCGGATGCAGTACCAATCCCTCAGCAGACGTCCCAAGGTAGACAGCGATGTCTGTCTCATCCTCCCTTCCCAGGAATCAGCCCCACCAACTACTCACACCATGGCCACGTTGCTGCCATCAATGACAATATGGCGGAGATCTGGCTGGCCAGGCACATTGGCAAGGCACAGAGTGAAAGGATCCTGTAAAGCTTCCTGGAAACGCTGGGTGCCAGTGACCAAATTGCCCCCACGGGTGCCTCGTTTCCTCGGAGACCCTCGACCTCGAGTCACAGTCTGCTGCTTGTCTCCCCTGTCTCCCCGATCTCCTCGGTCTCCACAGGGCCATGGGGGTTCTGGTGCGGGTGGAGGACTAGGCACTCTTGGAGGTGAGGCTTTCCCATTATGGAGCCGCTGGAGGAGAGAGGCTCCTCGGGGTTGAGCTGCCCTCTGACAGGGGACGTGGGCACTGGGAGGCTCACCTTGCACAGTGAACCCTACTTTTTGCTGGGGTACCTGCTGCCTCCCCAAGGCCTTTCCTTTCAGGGACCCCATCTCTGCTCCTCCACCTGCTGGCTGTGACTTGAAAGTCACTGCTGTCTTCGAAGCCTCTTCCCCAGGTGACTCTTTCCACCCTGAATCCATCTCCTTGGGACCATCCTGTTTGCCTCCTTCCTTCTCCACAGTATGACTTTCTCCTCTTGCTGCCTTTGACTCTCCCTGCCCTGCAGTCCCAGTGCCCAGGGATTCCCCACCTTCATTCAAGTGAGCTCTAGCTCCCTGGAACTGAGCACCCAACAGGCCTATGATCTTCCCCTCCCTATAGGACAGTACTTTTGGCCCCTGCCCTCTGGATGCCTCTTGCACCAGGCTTAGGAGCTCTTCCTGGACAGCCAGGGACAGCTGCAGCAAGGCCTCTTCGTAGGGATCCTCCAGGGGCTGTATCAAGGCAGTGAAGTCTCTCAGCACTCTGGCACTCTCCGGGGCTCCAGGACATGGCTGCAGCTGCAAGTCCCAGCTCAACCGCTGCACTAGATCCTCCACCCGGCTCTGAGCCATCACAAAGGCTTCAGTTAGGCCACTGATCATCAGAGAGCCAGGAACCAGAGGCACCAAATGTGCGGATGTGCTCCACGCCAGACAATCAAGGAAGAAGCTTTTGGCTCCAACAAAGATGCAGTGCAGTCTGGACGGGTAGTGGATTTCACTCTGCAGTTCTGGGCTGCAGAGCCCCTTCAGATACTCCTGGAGGGAAGGTCAGAAGAGGAAACTTCTAGAAGTCACTCCCTTGAGGTTCATTACTCTCCCCTGACTTTCAAGGTGCCTGGGTCATCAGGTAGCTACTACTATTCCCGTTGTAGAGATCAGGAAACTTGGATGGAGGGCTGGCAAGTGGCAGAGCCATATTAGAATTCCTCCCAGACTCCAAAAGAAAGCAATGTGGCCAGCCTCCCTGCAACCCCCATCCCCAGTGAATTCCTCAGCAGGGCCACCTGCTCTGTGGGATTACCTCTACTATCTTCAAGAGGAAGAAGTGATTTGTTTCCCCAGTGCAGGCAGCACCTGAGCAGTCAGGCAGAAATGAAACCAAAACTCGAGATAAAGAGAATTACGAAGTTCCTCAAAGCTTGGGGGCATAGAGGCTGATAAAGGTGGCAAAGACCAGGCGATCTTCCCCAGCCCCTCCTCTGACTCTAGCGGGGAGGGACAGCGTCCTAGTTTCCTAGGAGGATTGGGGGGAAGAGTTCACCTTGGCTCTTCTGACATTCTCCTTGGGGCCCTCAAGCTGCAGCCAGATGTGAGGGTTCTCTGGGCAGTCTTTAGGCAGGACGCACATCCTCACGCTGAAGATGCGCTCCAAGCGAGCCTGCTGCTCACGAACCTTGCTCTCTGCCTCTGCAGACACCGCAAAGCGGTCGGGAATTGGGAAGGCAGACTGCCAACCAGACATGGCTTCTTCCCCGGGTCCTAGAAGGGCAGATGGTGGCGGGTGGCTCAGATCCTCTGTCTGCCTTCAGCCCAAATCCTGGTCTCTCTCGGTCTACACCAACCATCAACAGGTCGCACCGGGTTACAGCTCGGGTAAACAACCCTAGGAGGTAGCGAGTCCACCTTGTGGGTGGAGAGGGTGGGAAATTATCCATACGCAGGCCTCGCCCAGACCCGCAGTCATGCGTAAACAAGGCTATCTGAGACAAAGAACTGGCCTGAGGAAACTGATGACCATCGCCCTAAGGAGGGAAGAGTCAGGGGCCTCCAGCTCGCTCTGGAGGTCCTAAGAAGTAGATGGGTGACGAAACAGTCCCAATACTCGGGGGCCTCTGCAGTCCTCGGGTCAAAGATGGCCTCTTTAGCTATGCGTCCACGCCGAGGCTAGAACTGGGCTATCCTGGGGGTCCCCGATCTGCCCTGTTCCATCTCTAGCCACTCCCACCTCCCCGCCTCCCCTCCCCCCCGCCCCCGGCGCCCCTCCCGGGGCCCGGGGACCCGCCGGCCCGCCCACAGTAGCCGCGGCCACCGCCCCCGATCCAGCCGAGCTCCCCCCCCCGCCCCCCCTCCCCCCCGCGCCCTGCGCCCCTCCGGGGGACCAGGGACCCGCCGGCCCGCCCACAGTAGCCGCGGCCACCGCCCCCGATCCAGCCGAGCTCCCCCCCCCGCCCCCCCTCCCCCCCGCGCCCTGCGCCCCTCCGGGGGACCAGGGACCCGCCGGCCCGCCCACAGTAGCCGCGGCCACCGCCCCCGATCCAGCCGAGCTCCCCCCCCCGCCCCCCGTTCCCAGCCTCCGGCCCCAGGAGGGAAGCGCCTACCCGCCGAGGCTGCGGGTCCCGCCGGAGCCTCCAGGTGCCCCCAGCCCAGGAGTCCGGGGCAGGGGGCCCGAATCGGGGTGGGCCTTCCCGGATTCCTCACCCAACCGAGCCTTCTCTTGTCCTCAACGAATACTGTTTTTAAGTCACTTCCTGGCCTGGGGCGGAGCCAGCCCAGCTCCTCCCTCGGCTCGGCGCCCGCCGGGACTCACTGCGGGGCTGCGGGCCCTCCTCCCGCGCCGCCCTCCTCCTGCGCCGCCCTCCACCCAGCCCGCGTCGTGACCCGTGCTCCCCAGCTGCCCGGCCCACCCAGCGTCCAGCAGTTCTCCCCCCAACCTCTACCCGCCTCGCTTCCAGACAGTTCCCACCTTTGCCCGGTTCCTGGAGTCCTTGTGGGGTTTGCACTGTTGAAAGTTCCAAGAGAGAAAGTGACAGGTCCAGGGTGACAAGATAATATTGCCCTTGGCCCCAAGTAAGGGAAGACCTGGACACCCCTTCCAATAAACAGAAAGACTCTACGGAAAAGGATTGTTGATTTGTGAGGGATTCTGAAGAGGAGAGGATGAGGCTGAAGGAAATCCGTCTCACACAGCATACCCCTGCGTGTCTGCCCCCACACACACCTAGTTCTCCATCACCCCCAGTAACAGCCTCCCTACTACGGAGTCTGGCTGCAGCCCTGGTGTCCTGTCTTCATCCCTCTTCTCCCTCCCAGCACCTAACTGCTGTCACTTTTCCTGCTCTGCCAAGGAGGAGGGAACTGCAGTGACTGCGGGAGAATGGAGAGGCCAGGCAGAGCAGTGGGACACAGACAGGTATGGGGAGGGAGGGGCCCAGGCCAGGTGACGGAGACAGCCACAGAGGGGACAGCCGGGCAAGGAAAGGCTAGCAGAAACCTGAGACAGAGGAGCAGGAACCAAAGCAAAAGGGAGTGGAAGACTTGTGGGCCATGTTGGGACCAAAGCAACTCTGGATTCCCGGCCCCCTACACAGCCCTGGGCTGCCCTTGGCCCTGATGCTTATGATCCTGTGTGCTAGTTGGGCCCAAGAAGGATCAGAGCCTGTCCTGCTGGAGGGCGAGTGCCTGGTGGTCTGTGAGCCAGGCCGAGCAGCTGCAGGGGGCCCTGGCGGAGCAGCCCTGGGAGAGGCACCCCCAGGACGAGTGGCATTTGCAGCAGTTCGAAGCCATCACCATGAGCCATCAGGAGAGACAGGCAACGGTACCAGTGGGGCCATCTACTTCGACCAGGTAATGCCGTCCCCTGTTCAGAGGACCTGCAAGGACCTAGAATCTATCGTCCAAGCCCACTTGCTGTCCCTCAGACTTTAAGAAAACCATTTCCTACATCTCATTATTCCTTCACCTAATTTAAGGGCCACTGCCTGCCTCCTTTTCATTCATCCCCACAGCCCTCCTTGCTGTTTCCCGTTGTGTTTGAATCCATAAATCCCTGTCACACCTGCATGCCACCCTTTCGTTACTCATTACCCCTTCCCTAATCCCAGGGATGACCCTGAGCCCCACTCAGCATGACCTACTTCCCCCAGGTGCTGGTGAATGAGGGCGGTGGCTTTGACCGGACCTCGGGATGCTTCGTGGCCCCTGTCCGGGGAGTCTACAGCTTCCGGTTCCATGTGGTGAAGGTGTACAACCGCCAAACTGTCCAGGTGACCTGAATGTTGGCCCATCTTCAGAGGGAAGGGAAGGTCCTAAATGGAGTACAGCACAGCCCTAGAGAGTCCCTCCATTGACCTGTGTCATGGGGGCCAGAAGCAAGGGAGGAAAGACCCTGGTAAGCAGGGTATGGAGGATGTGCAGATCCCAACACAGGCCACCCCTCAACCCTAGCAGGGGTGCCATAAAGCTCCAGGTTGCCAAAAGGAAGCCCTTGAGAAGAGGATCCTGAGCCGAGGGCTGGGGTACGGATGCTAACTGGACTCCTCTCCTCAGGTGAGCCTGATGTTGAACACATGGCCCGTCGTCTCAGCCTTTGCCAACGACCCTGATGTGACCCGGGAGGCAGCCACAAGCTCCGTGCTGCTTCCCCTGGACCCTGGGGACCGCGTGTCCCTGCGCCTGCGCCGGGGGAATCTTCTGGGTGGCTGGAAATACTCAAGCTTCTCTGGCTTTCTCATCTTCCCACTCTGAAGACCCATGCTTTTGAAAGAAAGAAATCTAGCACCTGGCCCCTGTCTCCTTCCCTCCTCTGCCCCAGACGCAGCATCATTGGGGCAAGCGGGGCTCCCCTCCAGCTGCTTACAGCCCACCTCTTTGCATGAGACCCTGCACCAAGAACCCAAAGCTAAGAGTAGAGAAGAGCAGAGCTATGTCATCTCTAGACAGGGCAGTCCTCACCACCCTGACACAGTTGCCCTCCCGGCCTCCCGCTGCCCCTTGAGCCTGCAGCCCTGGCTTAGGGCAGACTTGGCAAGAGCAAAGCTTGCACTAGTTCACAGACTTCACTCCTTCTGTTCCCACCGCAGCTTCCTGCTCAGTGCTGTTTGGTGACAGGTGGCACAGGTAAGCCTGACAGGCTCTCACAGGGGCCCAGATGGACCAGCCTTGGCGCACCCTGCAGGCTCCTTCCTGTGAGGAATGCCAGCATCAGGGCTCTCAGTGAGCACCGTATGGACAAGGACTGACTGTTCAGCCACACACAGAAGCTTGGGAAGGGTCATAGAGCAATCCCAGAGCCTGTGATGAGAAAGGCAGTTCAGGGACATGTGTCTTGTCTGAACATGATAAACATTCTGCAGATGTACTAGAACAGTCAGCAGGCAAGGATCCTGCCATCCATCTGTGCCAGGTCCCAATGGACTCTGGCCCTCATTTCCCCATGGGAGACTTAGGTGTGTGTGTTTGCTCTGACCAATGGGGGGGTGGGGTGAGAGCAGATATACAGAGCTGGAGGTAAGGGTGGAAGGTCACACATGGGCCATGGAACACATCAGTGACCATGCGTCCTCCTGCTTGGCCACCTCCTAAAACTGCCTGAACTTTGAACGCTGAGCTTCGGTCACTCCCCACTCCTGACTGCCACCTCTTTCCTCTAGCTCTCACTTAGTTAACCAGGCTGTACCCACTGCAGCCTGACCCACCATCTCCCTTCCACCCAATCCATACTTATTGTCTTTAAGCATCCTTCCTCCTTGGGGTCCCTGATTCATCCCTCCAACCACTCTCCTTTCAGCATCAGAAACTCTCTCTTACCCCATTGTCCCAGTGGCCCAGCATGGATGACTGTCAAGAGTTACTAGAGAACCGTGATTGGTGAGACACTGGAAGTTCACTGTAGGGAAGTCGCAGTTTGGAACAGGGGTTACAGGCTTCAAGCACATGTGGCATGTTGAAGAGAAAATGAATGCAAACCTGAGTATTAGAATCAAATAAAAAAGAATATAGTGATACTCAAGTTAAACAAATACCAGTGTGAGTTTGTGGTTTAAAAATGAAACAAGAAGCCAGGCATGTTAGCGCACACCTTTAATGCCAGCACTCAGAAAGCAGAGGCGGGTAGATCTCTGTGAGCTCGAGGCCAGCCTGGTCTATGTAGTACATTCTAGCCCAACCAGGGCTCCATAGTAAGACCCTGTCTCACAAAAAAGAAGCAGGAAGGTAAAGGTGGAGGCTGGAGGTGTAGCTCAGTGGCAGAAGCAAATATGCTCGAAGCACTGGGTTTGATCCCCAGAACTGTGGGGCGGGGGAGGAAAAGGGAGGGAGAAATATAAAAAGAAATAACATTTTCTTTCAGCATTTGACCAAACTTTGTGACCAGGAAAAATAGCTTAAATGACATAGGAGATTATTTCTGTCTCACAGAGAAGGATCTGCAGCAAGGGAATTCAAGGATGAATGACTGTTTCTAATCATAAAAGCCCAATCTCTTTTTGCTGTTCTGTCATCTTTGCATGTCAACTCAGCCCAAGATGACTTCTCAAGCTTCAGCAGCTACATCAGCCTAGCAGCACCAGGAAGAAGGGAAAAAGAAAGGACACACCTTTCCTTTAAAGAAGCTTCCTGAAAGTAGCATGCAGACTTCTGATCATGAGCAGTTGCTACAATGTAGCACACTTGGCCACATCAACCTGAGACAGGAGACAGGCTAGGAAACAGTCTTGCTTCTTTATGGTATTTTCCATATATGTGTGTGTGTTTGTGTTTGTGTATGAGAGAGAGAGAGAGAGAGAGAGAGAGAGAGAGAGAGAGAGAGAGAGAAACTGAGCACATGTACCATGTGCACATGTAGAAGACGGAGGACCAACCTTGGGTGTCCATCCTCACTTTCTACCTTGTTTGAGATTAGGTCCCTCATGATGCATAGGCTAGGGCTGTCTTACGCACGTTCTGAGGATCTGAACTCAGGTCATCAGGCTTACATAATAAGTGCTTTAACCACTGAGCCATCTCCTCAGCCCATAATCTTTATTCTAAGCAACTATATCCAGCTAAAAACCAGGAGTTTTATAGGAAAGAAGAAGAAGACACTGGATATTGGACATTTTTCAAAATATAAATAGATCAGATCAGTCTGTTAATATCAGTGGTAAAGTATTGTATTATTCTTCTACTGCTGTGTAACAAATTACTAAAGACTGAGTAGTATAACATTGTTCATTTATTCCAATTTCTATACGTCTTCATTCTTGCAGAGTATAACTGGATTCTCTGCTCAGGGTTTCACAAAGTCAAAAACAAGGTGAAGGCCAGCAGCCTTCTTTAATGCAAGAAGCCGCTTCCAAAATCACTTCGAATTTGGTTCCTTAGGTTTGTAGCGCTGATGTCCCTAGTTTCCTCTGTTTTCCAGCCAACAGCTATGGGCCAAATCTCACCTTTTGAGTCTCTCTGTCCTACCCTTTGCCACATATGACTTCCAAGGAGAAAATTCTTGGACTTTGAGGAGTCTGGTGCTTAGACTGGGCCCACCCAGAATATATAGAATAATCTCCTTATTTTAAGTCCCTAACCTGATATTTAGAGGCAAAGTCCTGGGGACTAGGGCATAGACCCTGAGACATCTATCACAGGCTCTGAATTTCAAGATAACATCCAGAAAAAGGCATCTGATACCATTCACTGACTGCTTAGAAATGTATGGGCCTGAAAAATACCCAATAAAGACTATCAATACCAACTTAGATTTTAATAATCTTAGAAGGCAAATCAGTTCCTAGGATCAACCAAGAATTCATTGACTAGTAATTCCAAACTGAGAGAGTGCCCCTCTTCTGATCCAAAGGCAGACAACTTATCCATTAGGCCACATGACTATATACCCTTCCCTTTAAGACCAAACTCAAGTAAAATAGTATCCATTTCATGAATCTACAGGTGCATTATGATGGTAGAAGAAAGGTTTAAAACTCTACAATCCAAGCGTGGAGAGATGGCTCAGTGGTAAAAAGCCCAGTTGATCTTACAAATGACCTGGAGTCAGTTCCCAACACCCACATGGTGACTAACAACCATCCGTAACTCTATCCCAGAGGATCTGACACCCTCTTCTGGCCTCTGTGGCCCTTGCACGTAGAACACACACACATGCAGATATATAAAATAAAAATAATTTTTTTAAAAAGTTGGTTTTGGGTTTTTTTTGTTTTGTTTTTTGCAGGGCTTGGTAAAGCACGCCTTTAATCCCAGTGCTCAGGAGGCAGAGGCAGGTGGATCTCTGAGTTTGAGGGCAGCTTGATCTACGTAGTGAATCCAGGCCAGCCAAGGCTGCACAGTGAGACCCTCTGTCAAAAATAAACATTATACTAACAAACAAAAAACTACTGTACAGTCCAACCTGTAGTCAGATTACACACCATAATTTTAGCACTTGGTAGGTGGAAGCAGGAGGCTCAGGAGTTAAAGGCTAGCCTGAACTACATAGACTATTGTCACACACACAAAAATTGTGCAGTCATTGTAAGGATGTGTTTTCTTTATCAAAACATTTGAAACTTTTAGAGGAGTTGACATATTAGACTTGTAATTCCATTAAAATATCTAGGAGGATTTAATTACATTTGTAATCAATGTTTAAGTGATTTGACTTGTAAAATGTATAAATCTTGATTTGTTGGCTCTAGAAATAGTGTTTATGTGTTCTGTTTTTGCTTAGGTAGATTTATAAAATACACAGATTAAACAGTCAAGCCCAGGTAGCAGTGGGTGTTCCTCTCCAGAGACCACAGCTCCGAAGACTTTGAGATCCTAAAAATAGAATACACTGTGTGCCTTTGCTCTGCTCTCTTCCTGGCAGCTAATTCCCACAGAGGAAATTGACATTTGGAGAATCCAGTGTGGATCTAAACACACAGCCTCTAGCCATCCCTGGTCCTCAGTAATCAAGCCATTCTCTGGTCCATTACTGTTGGGAGACCTCTGTTATGCAAAAGTCGAAGCCCCTTCACACCGGACAGCTCATGCAGCTCGGGGAATGTGCCCCGGGCTCCTTTTCATAGCAAGGTGCTTTCTGGCATCTTTCCTGTCTCTCCCTTTGAAGTGGCCGCCACAAATGCCCTGACATAAACATGGCCTTTGGCTCTGAAAAGATACCATGCCTTCTTGTAATTTTCCTAGCAGACAACTGTCTGGCAGAAATCCACTTCCACATGTAAATAGAATGTCTCACAAAGCATCTAACAGCCAAAGCTTTTACCACTACCCCCATGGTATAAAATATCCTAGCCTTCTCTTAATATTGGGATTTTGGGATTTTGGGTCAGAGACTGGGTCCCAGAGATTGGGTCCCAGAGAGAATAAAGCTGTAAGCACAGACTAATGTGGCGAGGGCTCCTTTTCATAGCAAGGTGCTTTCTGGCATCTTTCCTGTCTCTCCCTTTGAAGTGGCCGCCACAGATGCCTTGACATAAACATGGCCTTTGGCTCTATGCATACCATGCCTTCCTGTGTGTGATTTTTACAGGTAGACAATAGTCTAGCAGAAACCCACTTCCACATGTAAATAGAATATCTCACAAAGTATCTAAAAGCTTTTACCACTACCCCCATGGTATATAAATATGCTAGTCTCCTCTTAATAGTGGGAGATCGGGTCAGAGACTGAGTCCCAGAGATTGGGCCCCAGAAAGCTGGATCAGCAGAGAGCTGGACAGCAAGGAGCAGAGATACAATAAAGCAGTAAACACAGACTAAGCAGTGCCTTGAGTCCTGTGTCTTACTACCCAAGACCTGATCTCGCCGGAGAGCAGCACTCTCTCCATGCCTCTTCCCTGTGGAGTTCACTGGCCAGAACTCCGCAATCCTGAGGAAGGGCACAAGGGTGTAATAGAGGCGGGATCCCGACTAGATAATACTCTAGTAGCAGAGGAAGCTCTCCGCTCTAGAGAAGTGTGTAGCTATCAGCTACAGCCAGCATCAGAGAAGTCTTCGCAGCGGCTAGCCAGCGGGACCAGAACCACCGCGGGAGAATGCACGCACACCTGACCCTGGGCCACATCCAGAGTGAGTGCGCCCGGGAGCCCAGGCGAGCTCCCTCACAGAGTGAGTGCGCCCAGGAGCCCAGGCGCGCTAGCCAGGTGTGACAGAGACCCCAGGGTGCCCGCACACACCACGGCCGGGGGGGGGGGGGGGGGCCGGGGCAGACCCGCCCCCGCAATACATTACCAGCTCCCCTCTTCCCCCTCCCCAGAATCCAACTGCAGCATTCTGTTGTCATCTTCAAGATCTGGTGCCACCTTCCTCACCCCCCACTGTCAGCAGATAGCCTCAAGTGTGCCCTGAGATGCAGACACCAGGCAGAAGGCCCTCACCAGACCCACACGGGGCCTTCCCCATCTCCTCCTGTGTCTTTCAGTCAGTGCTGACTTTGCCACCTGTCAAGATGACTATCCACTAGCCATAGACCCCATTTTCTCTCTGAGCATTGCCTAGTTTTTTGCTCTCCTCTACTCCTTCCCTTCAGTGATTAGGTTTAAGAACTTGAGTTTCTTAAACCTAAAAGAGAAAAAGAGGAGGCAGGAGAGATGGCTCAGCAGTTAAGAGCACTGGCTGCTCTTCCAAAGGACCTGAAGTTCCCAGCACCCACATGGCAGCTAACAACTGTCCCTAACTCCAGTTCCAGGAGATCCAATGCCCTCTCTGGCCTCCTTGAGCATTGCATGGCACGGGTGCACTTACATACATGCAGGCAAACACTCTAAATAAAAATAAATAAATAAATTGGAAAAAAAATTTAAAGATAAAAAGAGGGTAGGAAGCCGGGCATGGTGGCACAAGCCTTTAATCCCAGCACTCGGGAGACAGAGACAGGCGGATCTCTGTGAGTTCAAGGGCAGCCTGGTCTACATAGTGAGTTCCAGGACAGCTGGGGCTACAGGGAGACCGTGTCTCAAAAAGACCAAAAAAAAGAGGGTAGGAGAGATGACTCAGGGGTTAAGAGCACTGGCTGCTCTTGCAGAAGACCAGGATTCAAATCCCAGCACCCATATGGCAGCTAAAACCACCTGTGACTCCAGTTCCAGGCAATCTGACACCCTTTTCTGACCTCCACAGACATTGTACAACACAGGTGCAGTTACATACATACAGGCAACACATTCATACACATTAAATAAATAAACAAAACATATTTAAAAAAAAAAAAAGTCAGGTAAGGAAGCAGCTGTGACCCAGGTGGTCATCCTCAACTGTGAACACCTTGCGGCTGCTAGGCATTGACTCACCTCTTCTCAGGCCTAAGTATTATAAACGTCTGTGGCTATCAGTTTCTTGCCTGTTAGTCACTGGTAAACTCTAGCCTCCGCTGGTCCACCCACACTCCCCTAGCCAGTCACCCACACTTCCATGTCACTAGTATCCCCAGACACCTCCTAATCCTCCTGCCACAAGCTGTCCCTAACATTGGGACAGTTGGGCCCTATTGTCCATGCCCTCCTAACTACCCGTCGCACTCTAGGTGGGCTTCCCCTACATCCCTCTACCTGTGTCTCAGATCCTCTTTTAGACTCTTCCACCGCTTCTCTCTTTCTTTCTTTGTTTTGAGGCAGGGGTCTTACTCTGTAGCCTAGGCTGACCCCTAACTCAGCAGTCCTCCTGCCTCAGCTTCCTGTGTTGCTCAGATTTCAGGTGCGCACCGCCATGCCTAGCTCGTCCTTTCTTAAATGTTGTTCTTCTCAAGATTCTATCCCAGAATTTCTTTGGTCTTAACAAATGTCCAGCCATGTGCTGGCAATTTCCCCATTTTTATGCCTTCTGAACAAGTAGCTCCTTCTAAATAGACTCACACATTCCATCTAGAGTCAACTTGTTGAAACATGAACTTACAGACTTTACTGACTAAATCTTTTCTCCCTTCCTTGTTCTCTTTGTACCTGGAACTTTCACCCACCACAGCCAGTCGTTCATATCCACCTAGCCCAAGGAATCTCTAGTTTGGATAGAAGCCTCCTAACCACCATCCCTAACCCCCACACCGCCTCCAGTTCTCCAAAATCTCCAGCACTTTCTCCCTTGGGAATTGCAATAGTGCTCTCACTAAATGAACTGTGCTGCCTAAAGCCCTTTAAAAGCTCCCAGTGGGCCTTGAAACGGAATGTGTAATTCTTAACATGTTGTGTGAGACGTTTTATAATCCAGCTGTCACTGGCTCCACCACTTCATCTTTCATCATCTGCAAGAATGTGAAGACCTAAGAAACTGCACCTCTTAAATGACAGTCCTTAGAAAAAGAAAGTATGAGATTGAAGTCAAAACTTAATAAAACCAAGAAACTTGTTCTTGCACCCAACAGAGAAAATCAGCATGCTTTAGATTGTGAAGCCTATTAATCTGGACCAAACTGAAATGGATAAATCTTTTAAATTCTTTTTTAAACATTATTTATTTATTTTTATTTTTATGTATTTGAGTGTTATGGCCTGCATGTATATAAGTGTACCCATGTCATGCAGTGCCCACAGAGGTCAGAAAAGGGCATCAGATTCCCTGGAAGTGTTGTTAGCTGCCATGTGGGTGCTGGGATTTGAACCCGGGTCTTTGGCAAGAACAGCCAGTGCTCTTAATTGCTCAGCCATCTCTCCAGCCCAGAAATGGAGAAATCTTAACTGACACTATATAATGAACTAATAAAAGATGGAGAGGACATAGGTTAAGGGATGGGGAATAGCTCTAACAACAAAGTAAACAGGCTCACATAAGAGGTAGCAAGCATAACACTTCCCCAGGCCATCTAGGAAGAAGCATTCAGACTCAGCCTTTCCATTTAGCTGCATATGACCTTCAGTGAGTGACTTCACCTCTCTGTACCTCATCTTATTCGTCTGTAAAATGGAGATATTGTGTCTGCCCCCACAGGTTTGGAAAGCATTTAGAAGAGGGCCTGGCAAGTAAATACATATGAGGTATTAATATATGAATTAGTAAACAGTTGGAGGACTATGTGGATCCCAGGGATTCTTGGGCAATCTCCAAAAGCAGATGAGCTGTTTCATGCTCTGATGACCCTTTACCTGTTTTCACAGTGTTTCTGTCTTCCACGTATGTTCACTTTTATGCTAAATGCAAGGGTTTAGTATGGTACAGCAAGCCTAGGTGGTCCCAAACTCACAGATGTTTATGTGTGTTTTAACACTGGCACAGGAGGTCTCTATGGTTTGCATTAGGTGAAGGGACAGTCTACATACTGAAGTCTCAAATCTCTGCAAAGACCTTGTAAAGCACCCAGAAGCAAGGAAAATTCTTAAAAGTCAGTGTAGGTAAGAGTTGATCATTGCTTCAACCCATCTAGGATAGAAAGTAAAGAGATTTGACTGACCAGCTTTCCAATCAGCCTTCCATTCTAGCATTGAATCTCTCCTCTCTGGCCTGTATGAAGAGTGGAGGTATTGCTTTTGGAGAAGGGGCTCTGAGATGGCCTTTCTAAATGGCACACAGGTTATGAGTCCAGGACCCTGTGCCATGGGCTCTTATGCCTCCTGTCCCTCTTATCACACTGTACTGTGTTCAGTGGGCTTTCTCCTCCACTTGACTATGGACTCCAGTGGGGCAGAGACCACGTCAGTCACACTACCTACTTTCTGCTCCATACCTAGACAGAACCTGACACATAGTAGGTTTACTTTAAATGTCAAACAAATGGTGGTGACACGCGAACTGATACTTTGCCACGCCACTCCATACCCGTGCCAGCACCAGCAGAAATCTGGGAAGGTGGGAAAGGCAGCAAAAAGCCAAAGCCCGAGTTCAGGAAGGTTAACCAGGAATAAGAAGCTCTCTGAGTTTGAGGGGGGAGAGTAAGGACTCCAAGTGCAAAAAAGGAGCAGCGTTGACTAGCATGTGGTGAACACTTGCTCAGCGCCCATCAGCATGCTACCCCATTCACACAGATTATTCTCTTCACATCATCCCAGATTCCAGGAATTACTATTGTCCTGTATTGTACAGATGAGGAAGATGAGACCTGAAGAAACAGATGACATACATGTCCTATTTGGTTTAGGGGCCGTCCATGTTAGAGGGCTCAGCACTAATGCCATTCTCACCAGCCAAGTACCTTTTATCTTCACCTCTACCCTGCCACCTCCAGGACCTGGCCTGGAAGAGCACCAGCCTGGGCTCTCGTCCCAGCACTGGGGCGAGTCAGCCCTGGAGCATAAGCATGCCACCCTCTGCACTCCAGCCTCCACATGTGCACACTAAGAGCTTGAACAGGTGATCTGGAAAAGCACTACCCTTGAAGTCTGTACACTGCCCGGGAGGTACAACAGCCACACCTCATGGCTTCCCTACTCTCCTTATCCCCCAATTCTGAAGTTGAAACAAAGAAAAGGATTGAACATTGGTTCCATTTCAATCGATTTATTGAAAAATAAAATGAAAAAGAATCACTTGAAAGCTATAGGATCAAAACTGCAGTTAACAGGAAGAGGGTCAATGAGTACAGCTGGGGTGGGAGAGGGAGGTTAGATATACACTGGAGGAGGAGAGAAAAAGCAAGGGTGAGAAAGCAGCATACCTGCCAAAATCCCCACAGCAAACCCTTCGGCTTCCCAGCTAGCCCCAGCCTTCACTCCTGGGCAAGGCTACCAACTGGAACTGGACGAAGAACAATACCCAGTAGTCTGTCTACACAAGTTGGGAAATGGGGGGTCAAAGGGAATGTAAGTATAGAATTTCGAGGGATTCTCTTGCTTGAACCTGTCGCCAGACCCTTTTCATGGTGAACTCGGAATCAGGAAGCTTCATCCTGGCCCCAGCCACCAACTAGCTTTATGACGTTGGTCAGGTAATTTTCCATTTCTGGTCCTCTTTCCCCACTATGAAACAAGCAAGTTGGACTTGGTGACAAGTTCTCTGGCTGTAGTGCTCTGCAATGTCAAGTGTTTTGGCAACCAGTGCTAGGCCAGAAAACTGGCTCAGCTTCAAAGAAGTGAAGGTATTTGGAGACAAAGCCAGAGGGGTACGGTGCGGCCCCTCCTCTGCAGACGGCTGTTTGGCTGAGCAAAAATTCAGAAGGCCGCGTAGAAGTACTCGCACCCACGCAGCTGGCTCTGAGGGCGCTCTACACAGAAGGCAGATCCAGAGGACTGGGGGTGATAAGGACAGAGCCGTTACATGATCCATAGAGTCTAAGGAGGCAGGTAGAGTGCAGGTAAAAGGGACAGCTGTGGGGACTGAGAGGGGGTGAGGGGTACGAGGTAAAGCCACCCAGCACTTGGCTGTGTGCAAACCAGCCGTGTCATACACACCCCTGCCCCTTGAAGCAGAGTGTGGACGCCCCTTGTCCTAGTAGAAGCAGCTCCAGTAGAGACTCCACACTTAGCATCAAGGTCTTTGATTCCTGTGACGTGAACACCGTCACAGCACGGGTCAAGAATCATCTCCATTGGCTGGAATCAAATGAGGTAGCCCAAGTCATCCCCCTCCACCCCTCCCTTTCCCGTGCTGACATGTGGGTAGGTGGCTTATGACAGGTCACCTCCACCCAGAGCCACTGTCCTCAAGGCACAAGATACTCTACAATACTTCCTTGACAGCTGAGAAGGCAGAGCCTGGCCAAGGAAGCTGACCATGAGAATGGGGGGCCTCTGACTCCCACTACTGAAACGGATCTGCGCCAGTGAAAACTCCAAGGGCAAAGGTCCCCCAAATGCACAGTTGGCAGGGGAGCACCCAAATTTGAGGTTTCTGTTTGGGAGAGAACCACAACTGTGGTTCCAATTGTGAGGTCCAAAAAGCCACATATTTAATGGTTAAGACAGCAGGTATAAGATATGGGGGAGGGGAAGTGCGCACACCACCACACACCTGTACGTGTGTGAAGGCAGAGGGGGGCATTTGCAGAAAATGGCTCTGAGTCCGGCCTACTTTTAGAAAGGGGACTTTCTACTCCCCAGTGTGAAACTGCCTGAGTCATCTATAACAACCTTTGGCAAATTCTCCTAATACCCCAAGCTGGGGATATTTCCATAAAGACAACATCCTTAAGTCAAGGCAATTCAGCAAAGCTTCATGAAGTAACTTCTCCACAAAAGGCACAGTGAGGGCCCCCAAAGAGCTGAGAGCACATTTGCAACAGGGGTAGCCTAGCAGCAGCAACCCAGGACCTCTGGGACAGTAGTTTTCCCACTGCTCTAGTTCATTGCTCCAAGACCTTGAGGGACAGGGGTGTGCCACTCTTGGCAAAGGTCTTCATCAGACTGCTAGGATAGACACACCCCAACTTCTCTGGGGTCGGGAAGCCCCACACCCTATAGAGCGATAGGCTCAACCGGTCCCCAATATAAAAAGGACCCACCCATTTGGCACTGCTGCCATTCCTGGGGAGGGACAACAAGAGGACCTGGTCCCCCACGTTCCACTCCTTCTCCTGACTCTCCCGCTTGAGACGCCTGTTCTGCGCCTTTTCACTTGCCTTTTCAGCCACCCTCCAGTGGAGCTCCAGCAGCTCCCGAATCAGCTGCAGCAAGAACACATCCATCTTGAGCCCTTCAATGTTAGCACTGCTCATCTCCCACCACAAGGGCTCTGGCAGCCTCACCTCACCCCCAGTCAGGACCTGGCATGGTGTGGCCTCTGTGAAAGAGGCCCTAAAAGCCAGGTGCAGCAAGGGCAGTGAAGCCGCCCACTTCTTACCGTGCAGGAAGATAAACTCCTTCAGGGCCCTCTTGAATTCCCAGTAGGCGTCTGAGCTCATCAGACAAGGGAACTGGAGGTCCCTACTTAATGTGGCCACCTGGGCTCCTAGGGCTAGCCCACAGCTCACCAGGACATGTCGGGCAAACTGGGGGCCCTGGGCTGCCTCCAGCCTCACGGGAACACCCCATCTTGCAAACACATGCTGCAGCAGCACCTGGGCCACAGCCATGTGCGTATAGAGCTTCAGAGGGAAAGCCTCCACCCAGCGGGTGTTGGGGTCAGCCACAATGAGCACATGCTTATGGCCCTCCTCACTTACTGTGACTGGACCTACCACCTCGATCTGAAGATTTGCCCAGGGAGCAGTTGACCTGAGCGGCCACGGGGACTCGATAACCTTTAACTCACTGCCTACGAGGTTCCGGGGGATGCAAAACAAGCAGCTCCTGCAGTAGTCTTTCACATGCTCCTGCATCCCAGGCCACCAGCCCAGCAGCCGCAACTTCCTGTAGGTCTCCTCTGGCCTCTGGTGGCCTCCAAAGGGGATGTCATGCACAGAGAAAATCAGATCTCTCCGGAGTTGCCTTGGAACTACCCAGACCCTAGGTTTTTTTTCTCCCTTGAACATAAGGAGGCCACTTTCTTTGTCAAGGCTAAGTGAGTTAAAGGCAGAACTGAAAGGGGAAGAGCCAGTTAATTTCTGCCCTGCCTTTAGTTTGCCAATGATATCAGCCAAGGTGCTGTCACTCAGCTGTAAGGCCAGCAAGTTGGGCTTCCTGCCCTTAGGACAGGGAGTTACTACTGGAACTGGCACATCCTTAGGCAAATTCCACCACTGCCCACCCCCTTGGGCACCCTGCTTGGCTAGATTATCCACTGTCACAGCAAACAGAGAGCCCCGATAAGAGGTTCGGAAGATAAAGGGAAGGGAGGAAGAGCTAGAGGTGAGAGATAGAATGTAAGAGAGCAAGCTGGGGTGAGGTAGTGAAGCCCCATCAGCAGAGAGGAAACCCCGGGCTTTCCAGAGGGGCAGGAGCTCCCAGAGGAGGCTGAAGATCCAGGTGCAGTGGGTAAGGAAAACCACTGGGAGGTGGGACTGACCAAAGCGCTCCAGGCCACAGGCCACAGCTGCCAGATGGGCATAGGTGGGAGTGGGAGGGGAGCAGGAGAAGGAAAGGGAGACAGGGGGGCTGGTGGGAGACAGGACATAGAGACCAAAGCCAGCACACCACTCATCCTCGCTGTAGAAGCAATAGCCAGACATGTGGATGCAGACAAAACTGGACAGGTCAGAAAAAGGAGGCAGAACCTGAAAGAAACGCGGCATGGAGGAAGCAGGTGTCAGCAGCTGGTTTTCCCCCAGCAGGCCCTGCAGAAGGGTCAATTCCAGGTCCCTCTTGCCTTTGTCCTGTACCAAGAGAGACCATCGAATCAACCACGCTTTGGAAACACTACAGCTTTCCAGTGCCTCAGAGTCCACAGTGGTCCGGGAGGCATAGGAAAGGCCTAGGACCACAGGGCTATCTCCGATGCAGCGGGAAAAATGTTTGAGGGCCCAAGCCACAGCGTAGGGGCTATCCCCGCCTGACTGGGGGCCCTCACTGTCCTCATCGGGGAGGAGGGGCTTCGAGGTATAAGCAATGGGGTGCTTCCTTCCTGAGTGCTCCTGGTGGAGGATGGCCGTTAGTGCCACTTGGCTGACAGTCACCTCTAAGTGAAACGGCAGCTGGGAATTGGGAGTTGACAGGCAGAGGACAGACACCAGGGCTCGCTTCAGGGCCAGGAAGGCCTTCTCATGTTCCCGTTCCCACTGCCAGTCTGGCTTCTGCTTGAGAAGGCTGTGCAGGGGGCCCACAAGGACTTCATAGTCAGGAATAACATCCCGGTGGGAATCCATAAAGCCCACGAAGAAGGAGAGTGCGGTGAAGTTGCTGGGGATAGTCAGCTGGGCCAGCTGGGCAAGAACCTGCTGGCAAGGAGCCTTCCCATCCCAGGGGTCATCCATGTAAGGAGAGGATACCCCTGGTAGGAGGTCAATGTCTAAAGCCCCCTCGGAGGGGTCATGGAGGCTGAGGCATCGGAGGATTTCCTCAGAAAAGGAAGGGCACTTGGCTCCAAACAGTGACGCCAGGCAAGAGTCAAGGTCATGTTCCTCAGCCAGCTTTGGCAAGCCTGGCTCCTCCCACGGCTCCTCTTCCAGGCTTTTCTCCCTCTCCTCCTCGACTTCTTCCACATTCTGTAGATCCATCAAAGACTCAGGGTCAGCATCATCACTCAACTCTGAGATCCTGGCTGATTTGGGAGGAAGGGTCTTCCACACCTTCAAGAAATTTCCAATATCCATATCCAACCTATACCAAAACAGGTAAAAGGAGAGGAGACAGGCACACCCCCACAGGTCATCCAAAGTGAAAGCCACATAGAGTTGCCCCTCAGAGCCTCACTCCATTTCTAAGTGCCCCTCCTACCTGGCATGGGTCAGTCAGGCCCTAGCTCACAAATACTTGCTCTCCCCATTCCACAGAATTTCAACAAGGACTCTCCTGTCCTTGGAAGGTTTGTCAAACCAAAACATCACTGACTATGATGGCCAGTTTTACCTGTCAACTTGACACTCTAGAATCATGTGTGAAGGGAATCTCAGTGAGGGACTGTCTAGATCAGGTTGGCCTCTGGGCATGTCTATGGGGGATTATCTTGATTTCACTGAAGTGGAAAGACCCATCCACTGTGGGTGGCATCATTCCCTAGGCAGAGGATTCTGGGTTGCATAAAATGGAGAAAGTGAGCTGAGCCCTAGCATGCACGCATCTGTTTCTCTCTTCTGACTACATCCATGAGAGGACTAGCTCTCAAGCTCCTGCTGCTGCGACTTCCCCACCTGGAATCGTGGGCCCAAAATAAACTCTTTCTCCCAGAACTTGCTTTGTCAGGGTGTTTTATCACAACAACAGGAAACAAAACGAAGACAGTGACCAAGCCACATTTAAACTAGTTTTGAGTGGATGGTTTGATAGAGGATGAGTGGCAACTTGTACTCTGACCCCAGGACAAACACTCCAGGGGAAGGTCAACACAAGAAGGAAAACCTGACACACAGCAGTCAAGCCTCAGTCTCATCCCCACAAACTGGTGAAATGGAACTAGGGAACCTGGATCAGGAACCAGTAGCCTGTCCCGAGGTCCCAACCAAGATGCCCTGCTGGCCCAGGACAACAGAAGGTGGGCACCAAAAGTGGTTCGGATCATGGAAAGGCCAGAGGCTGAGTTACTACAAACCAGTTCGGCCAGCGTGACCTTCGAAAAGTCACTTAAACCTCAGATTCCTCATCTATGAAGTGTCATTTACCTCTAACTCAAAGTTGTGAGGATCAAAGGAGACAATTGACATGACAGCATATACTGTAGACACAGCTCTTGTGGACACGGTGAACTGAGAGCGAGGCTACTTGCTGGTATATCACAGCAGCAGCATAAAGTAGAAATGGCCCAATGGCCCAGCCAGAGAGCAGACACACCTGCTGGGTGGATACCCACATAATGGAATACTGCATGGCTGCTCAAGGGCTCTACATGAATTTGCATGGCATATATCTAAAAACAATAATAAAATGTTAAGCACAAATGCAAGTCATGGAAGTGTATCTTAATGCATGTTTGTAAAGATATTGAAAGCAATGTAAATAGATAGCAGCACCAATATGAGGTGGAAGTACTCCCAGGAGGATCTGGGAGGTAGGGGAGGCCTGACCTATTATTACCTGTTTGGTTTCCTCAGAAATTCATCCAAGGTGGGGCCATCACGGCCCAGGGGGTCATCTGGTACCATGAAGAGATTCCCAGCAAAGGTGAAGGGCAGCAGGCTGGACCCACAGGAGAAAAGGGCAAGGTCATAGGTCAGTCCTTGATTTGGCCCGGGCCTGTTGCTGCCTGGTGCTTCCACAGGGTCTGAGACACCCATTTCCTAGAAGGTATTAGTGAGCCCTACTCTAAGTCCCCAACATCTTCCCTGCCACATTCTGCCTGATTATTAGGAAGCCGTAGCTCGAGCCCTTAGAAATGCCTCACCGATCCTTCACCATCAGTTTCTTGGAATTATTCATTAGGATATGAATCTGCTCATTAGTGACGATTACTCCATCTGTCTCCTCCGCCAGCTTTACCATGAACCTGCAAGGGAAAAGGAAACCACTAACCACCCAGTAACTTGCCCTCTCACTTTCTGACTCTAGAAGATGAACTAGAGCTCCACAGCGAGATGAGTCGATAAAATCTCTGCCCTTTGTCATCAAGCCAGGGCCCGCAGCACATCCTCTCCTCCATGTGGCCTCTGAGATCTCAGTAGGCCCCAGAGGGTGGACATGGATCCACAGACCTCAACTGTGTATACAAGTCCATACCCCTTTCATACACACAGGCATACACAACACAGAATTCAGTCACTGGGTCACATAAACTATCCACTCCACATTGCTGTAAAGATTAAGCTGAAGTGATACCTTTTTGCTTTGTTTTTGTTTTTAGAGACAGGTCTCCCTGTAGCCCCAGTTGGCCTGGAACTCACTACCTGGACCAGGCTGGTCTCTACCTTATAGAGATCTCCCAGTCTTCTTAGTGCTGGGATCAAAGGTAGGTGCCACAGTGTCTGGCCTGAGGTGATACTTTTAATGCATTTAAGTATCTAATTCAGTGCCTGTCAGCACACAATATTCTCCAAGGTACAGTCCTCATATTCATGTCAGGATGTACATTCACATATACGTAGTCATATAAACCACTTTTCTAAGGATCCCCTTCCTTCTAAGGAGAGCTGTGGCTAGGAAAAGAAAGCTACCTGTAGCCCCTGGGATTTTCACACGCTGTTCCACAAGTGCCCAGCAGAGGGGCCTTCTGCAGAAAAGACATCTTCCCTCAAATCCAGGCCTGAATTTAGAGTACTTGAAGAGCTAACCCACAGCCATCTCTGAAAGGTGGGATGCTTGAGTGACCCTGCCAAGCCCTTCACAGGCCCAAAGGCTGGGTGGATTCCAGGTCTTGGGGAGTGTGGGGAAGAAAGAGAATTTCTCCCTATCCAGTCTGGGAGATGCCTAAGTGTAGCCAAGAACTGTCTGCTGAGCATCTGGCCTAGGACCAGTAACTATGGCAGGGCCTTATTTCCTTGCCCCAGTAGAGGCAGGGACACAGACTCCCCTAGGCACACTTGTACTACAGCCATGCTCAGTGGGTGCTGAGAACTGACAAGCCAAGAGGCATTCAGGGTTCAGGCAGACAAGGTCAATTTAACTCCATTTTCTAGAGCCTTGCCGGGGGATCCATCTACATAGAATCACATGCATACCTCCTCCCAGCACCAGAACTTGGGGGAGGAAAAAACTGAAGGCATTCCTTAAGGCATTAACTTTAACCCAAGGTGGCACCCAAAAGCATAGGATACTTCTGATGCTCGCAGCGCAAAGCTCAAGCAGTCCAATGCAATGGGTTTGGGCCCATAGGCCATGGAGGAGGAAAGCCAGTTAACTCAGGGAAGCAAGTACCAAAGATGCCAGTGACCTTGGCTTGAGAAGCCAACCCTCAGCTCCCCCCCTCACTTGTGCCCCACCCTCTCCTCTCAGATATGACCCCCTGACACATTTATCTCCATTTTCCCAGGGAAGATGGGGTGGGACTCTGCCCCAACCAGGACCACCCTGAGCCCCTGGGGAGCAGCAGCACACCTGTAATCATAAGTGGTGATCTTCCTGCCATTCTCCAGCTGGGAGGGGGTGATTGAAAGCATCTTGAATGAGTGGAGCTTGGTCAGAAAGTGGCTCTCTGGAGGTAAAAAGAAGACAGATGGTCAGAGGGTACTGGGAAAAGCCACAGTGAGGTGGTGGAAGAACAGGCAGAAGAAACCCCTGGTGACACTGGAAGGACTGGGTGGCAGTGGGCATCTCACCTCTCACCCGCCGGTTCTTCTTCAGCTGCCAAGTGGGTACAAACACAGTGACCTCTCGGTGTCCCCGATTCCAGAAATACTGCACTGCCATGGCAATGCCTCGGCAGGAGAAGAAGTGTTGGAGCCCGTGCCTGTGATGGTGGAAGTGGGGGAGTATCTTCCTGAAGCAGGCGGAACAGCCCCAAGCCTCACTTTACCATCTCCACCCTTAGCCCTGTGGCACAAGCAGGCGAGGCCCAAGTTGCAGCTTCAGGACTAAAGACGCCAGCAACACCCTCTTCCTTCCCGTCCATCTCCAAGGACATCCATGTGCTCTGTGAGCAACCACTGGAAGCAGGGAACTTCCAGACTCTGTGTGTGCATGTATGTGCAGTGACACCGAGGACAAGACAAGAAGAAAGGCAGTGTCTGGTCTCAAAGAACTCAATTTAAAACTTAAAAACAAAACAAAAATCCCTAACCACCTACCGGGTGCTAAGAGCATGTTCAGCACAGACAACTACTTTACCACGTGACAGATGAAGCAGTCCTGCATGTCTCTGTGCTAATGCCTCTACTAGTAAGCACCGAACATGGACAAGGGCGGGTGTGGTCACGAAAAGCTTCTGGCAGGCTCTGGGCTGGGTCTTCCTAATTGGGCTAAAGGTTTAAAAGCTGGCCCGGGGAGAGCATCGGCTTTGCAGCAGATGAATCTGAACCCAAAGGCCAAGCAAACCTCTAGCTGACTCACAGACCATGGGCATCTACCTGAGAACAGAAACACGACAGGGCTACTGTGAGAGTGTCATGCACACTATCTGCTATGCAGTGGCCACTCAACGTGCCGCTTCCCTCCATCTTCTTTCACCTATGTGGAAGTCAGGAAGGAATGCCTGCCCAGCTCCCCAGCATCCCTAGCCCATGTCTACTCACACCATGGCCACACTGCTGCCATCAATGACCACTCTCCGCAGCCCCGGGTTCCCGGGCTCGCCTGACAAGTTCAACTCGAAGGGTGTATTCAAGGCCTCATGGTACCTCTGGAAGCTGGTCACTGTGCTATTCTCCTGCCTCGGAGCCCCATCCCAGGCCCCAAGGATCCCCTCCTTCAGAAATGGGTGCTTACTGCTGGAGGCCAAGGTGCTGCTGGACTGAGGACCCTGCCTTCCAGCCTTCCCTTGACCCTTTGGCAAGGCTGCTCTACTCTTTGATGAAGCCTGGACCTCACTCAGAAGTTTTGCTACATCCAAGGTTGGCCCTGCAACTTTAGACATCTTCTGGGCTGCAGATGTTCCGGAAGCTCTGGAGATTTTCGAGGCTGTAGGTGCTTTGGGGGTCGCAGGTGTCTGGGGGGCTGCGGGTGCTTTGGGGGTCACAGGTGTCTGGGGAGCTGTAGGTGCTTTGGGGGTCACAGGTGTCTGGGGGGCTGCGGGTGCTTTGGGGGTCACAGGTGTCTGGGGGGCTGAGGGTGATTTGGGGGTCACAGGTGTCTGGGGAGCTGCAGGTGGTTTGGGGGTCTCAGGTGTCTGGGGAGCTGCAGGTGGTTTGGGGGTCACAGGTGTCTGGGGAGCTGGAGATTTGGGGGGGTCACAGGTGTTTGGGGAGCTGCAGGTGGTTTGGGGGTCTCAGGTGTCTGGGGAGCTGCAGGTGGTTTGGAGGTCACATGTGTCTGGGGAGCTGCAGGTGGTTTGGGGGTCACAGGTGTCTGGGGAGCTGCAGGTGGTTTGGGGGTCACAGGTGTCTGGGGAGCTGGTGATTTGGGGGTCGCAGGTATCTGGGGAGCTACAGGTGATTTGGGGGTTACAGGTGTCTGGGGAGATGCAGGTGATTTGGGGGTCAAAGGTATCTGGGGAGCTGCAGGTGCTTTGGGGGTTGCAGATGTCTGGGGAGCTGCAGACCCTGTTTTAGCTGCAGGTCCCGTTGGAGCTTTGGGAGTCTGAGTTCCCTCAGGTGTTCTCACTGAAGGCATTTTCTGAGTTGTAGGAGTTGGAGGTGTCCTGGGTACCCCGTGAGCTGCCGATGCCAATCCAAGCTGACTCAGAGCTGATTTTTGAGCTGTGGACACCACAGGAGCTGCTGGTTTTGCTGGACCTGAGGGCACTTTGGGAGCTGCAGACAGCCCTTCAGCTATGGGCTCTACTGCGGCCATGGGCATTTTAAGAGTTTCAGGCTCTGTTTGAGCTTCAGGTATTGACTGGGCCATCACCCCCCCTTGAGCCACTGGCCTCCCTTGAGCTGTGGGTTTCCGAGGCTCTGCAGATGGTGCCGCAGAGGCCTGCTTTTTCAGCCCTTTGCAATCTGACAGCGTACTTCTTTGTGCTCCCTGCTCAACTCCAGCTTGTAGTTGGGGTGTAGAAGTCAAAGATGGACCTACTTGTGGAAGTCTGGGGCTAACCTTGTCTTTTATACCACAATTCCTTGGGACCACCAATAAACTCATGACTTTTGGGGGTCCTTCTGACCTTGGGCAATTCTCTAGGGCTTTCTCTGCTCCCAGCTTCCCCTCTGGCCTACAAGCTGGGCTTTCTATGCTGGGCAAAGGAGCCAGCTCCTTCTGTTTCCACTCCAGGTTTAAGGGCAAAGGATTCTGCCCTGGCAGCTTCAGCTGAATGGGGCCCAGGGGCCTCTGCCAGAAGGGGAAATTGAAGCAAGCCTGGGAGAGGAGCCAGGCCAGGTGGAGAGAATGCAGTTCGTTGATTTTCCAGAAAGTTGCAGCAATAGTCCCTGGCCACAAGGGCCCAAAGGTTGGCCCAGAGGCCCAGGCCTTCCAGGATGGACACACACCAAGGGCTGACACTGGCGTTTGGAAAGAGAGTCGATCTTCCATCCTCTGTACCTGCCTTTGCTGCAACAGGGCTTGAGTGTGGTTTGCAGAGTCCTGGTTGCTGGTGGCTTGCACGATGGGCCCTTCCTCTCGATCACTGTCCGTATCACGTTGGTTGTTGGAACGGACCCTGGAGGAAGCCCAAGTTTATTGAAAAGGTAGGGGAACCAGGGGAGGGTCAGAGAAGCCAGAACTCTCTAGAACTTACCTTGCCAGCTGGCATGCTGTCTCCTGCTGAGTGCTCTGGGCTGGGATCAGGGACCCAGTCGCTCCCAGGCTTGTTAATGTCTTTGAATTTTCTGAATCCCCAATCTGGAAGGTTCCTATCTCTGGGAAGGGTCCAGGGTTTTCGCCTAGAGTCACTATGTCTGAGCCTTCTTTTTGTTGCTGGGGAGGGCAGACCAGCACCTCGGGGTTGGAGCAGGCATCAGAGATGCCAAAGTGGCCAAGCCACTCTATGATGTCTTCCTTGCCGGCAGCATCCCGCACCAGACTGAGCAAAAGCTCCTGGACAGCTGGGGGCAGCTGCAACAGGTCTCCTGCGTACTGGTCACCACGGATCCACACCAGGGCCCCAAAGGCCCGAGTCACCTCGGCCTCCCAAACCCCCCGGGGGGTGAGCAGAGGTGCAGGGCCCCAGCGCAGCCTTGCCACCAGCTCCTCTAGCCAGTTCTGGGTCATGGTGAACGACTCAGTCAGCCCACCCACCATCAGGGAACCAGGGGGACCAGGCACCAAGTAGGCCAGAGTGCTCCAGCAGAGGCAGTCTAGGAACAAGCCCTGGGCCCCAAGGAAGGCGCAGTGCAGGATCGGTGGATATCGGACCTCCTTCCACAGCTCTGGGCTGCACAGGCCTTTCAGATACTCCTGGGCACGGAGGAAAGAACAAAAGAAAACCAGTCTTAGTGGCCTGCCCCAGCTCTGTCCTCTTTATGTTAAAGGCCAGCCCCTTGCTAAGTTCATGCCTCCCATTGATGACTGACTCCACCAGGGCCAACTAGTCTCTTCCTGTCCCTGTCCCCTTTTTCCAGGGAATACTGACAATGGAGGAGAGACCCTGGAGGAAAGAAGAGAAAAGATATAGGTTTGGAGTCAAGGGACTTTGTGCTAGTTCCAACTTGGCCTCTTTAGGATTTTGGAAAAATCTGTCACCTTCTCAGGACTTCCATCAGTCTCTTCACCTATAACATGGCAGGTTAAGCTGGGTACTCTTGGGCCCAGTACTCCCTTGGCATTCCAGAACTGGGTGGTAGCTAAGGGGTAGGGGCCACCATGCTAAGTACTAGCCATGTGCCAGGAACTTGGGCAGCCTGGGGCAAGTTATTAATTCCCTCTTCCAACCTATGCCTCCTCATCTGTAAATTGGAAATAATGGCATTTCCTGCCTCATCAAGCTACTTGAAGCATCAGGGAGCTAATAATACATCAGAAGTGCTTAGGGTGGTGCCTGGCACAAGCTGTTTCCATTCTGCAGACTTCTAAGTTTGCTCAAGTACATACAGCTCAATAGTGTCTGTACCAAACCTACAGCCCACGTCTACCTGACTAAAAGCAGAGTTCTTTCTACCTCTCTGGCTAACTGCAAAGTGACTTCCAGTAATCCTGTGAGATTCTGGCTTAATCCCCTCCAGAAGGTCTCCAGCATAACTGGTGCTTGTTACCATGGTAACTGTTACCCAGTAGAGAAGATAAGTTGCTGGGCCAGTGTCCAGGGGAACACCCCACAGACATACATTGTGTCTAACCAGAAGGGAGGCCTCTGGCTCTCCGGCTAACCAAGCTCTCATGTTTGCAGGGAGAGAGCCCGAGAGAGGCTGGCTTCTTCCACGTACCAAGGTAAGCCTGGGAGCACTCCCTCTTAAAGTATCAGCCCAAGTGGACTGAGTTCACTCTCACATCCTTCCACATCCGTATCTGTGACAATCAGCCTTTCTCCTGACAGTACCACTAAAAGACACACATTGCACTTTGTATCTCTAGCAGCCATCTTGAAGAGTACATCAGTGGCTCTACTCGGTATGCAGGACATGTTTCCCTGAACATGCTTGTGCTTACCTCCTTCCCAGAGGTGGCTCCTTTCAACAAGTCAAAACCAACCAGCACAGAATCGGATGGGCATCCCAACCTCTCCTACCCAAAGCAAGCAAGAATAAATCTGGCCAGGTGCAGAGAACTCTCACCTTAACAAATGTCTTTCAGCCCCTGTTCCCCACATTCCGATGACAAGAAAATAAGATCTTAAAGTTGAAGAGGCACACTAGGGAGTTTTTCTCTTTCTTTAAAAAGATCTTAACGGGGCTGGGGAGATGGATCAGTGGATGAAATGCTTACTGTACAAGCATGAGGACCTGAGTTCAGATCCCTGGCACCTACAGGACAGGAGGATCCCAGGGCTTGCTGGCGAGTTCTGTGGTCAATGAAAGAGCCTGTCTCAAAAAAATCATTCCCCCTTCATCACTCAATACCAGCCAAACTACCAATCAAATGACCTTCAGATATGCAACCTAGATGTGCAGATTACAACACATCTTTGCACCTAGGAAATAGGGGCTAGACATGCTACTCAGTGGTAGAACACAAGCCCTGGAAAAAAAAATGTTTAGGAAAGCACTTAATCTATTTTCTGCTGTCATAACAGAGTATCACATATTGGGTCATTTACATTGAACTGAATTTTATTTGGCTCATGGTTTAGAGGCTGAGAAGGCACATGACACCAGCATCAGTCCAGAGCATCATTGCTCAGGTATGCAAGACAACGACACAGGTAGGAGGGGCCCAAACTTAAACCCATATCATGATGAATAACCCACCTCTTAAAAGCCATTATCTCAGCTGGGCATGGTGGCGCACACCTTTAATCCTAGCACTAGGGAGACAGAGGCAGGAGGAGCTGTGTGAGTTGAGGCCAGCCTAATCTACATAGTGAGATCCAGGCCAGCTGGGGCTACAGGGAGACCTTGTCTCAAAAAAAAAAAAAAAAAAAAAAAAAAAAAAAGAAAGAAAGAAAAGAAAAAGAAAAAGAAGACCATTATCTCTTTTTAAAGGGTTTCTATTTATTATTTTTTGTGTGTGAGTGTATTGCCTGCATGTGTGCAAGTGCACCTGTGTCATGCAGTGCCCAGAGAGGTCAGAAGAAGGTGTCAGGTCCCCTGGAACTGGAGTTATGAATGATTGTTAGCACAGGGCCCTCTCTCTCTCTCTCTCTCTCTCTCTCTCTCTCTCTCTCTCTCAATCTCCCTATCGCACACGGAGTGTCCCTGTAGCCCCAGCTGCCCCGAAACTTGCTAAGTAGACCAGGCTGGCCTTGAACTCACAGAGATCCACCTGCCTCTGCCTCCCAAGTGCTGGGATCAAAGACATGCATCACCACACCCAGCATATCTCTTCGTACTCTTATAATAGCAATTAAATTTTAATATGAGCTTCAGTGGGGACACTCAAACCATAGCACCACTGCATAGCAATTTTCCAGCAAAACAAGGAAGAAAACCATGAAAAGAGATCCAACATAAGAGTAAAACAATCTCCAAGATGAAGAGAAATCTTAGAATTCATTCATCTATTCAACATCTGTCATTGACCACTGACTACAGCTATCATCATTGAAGGCAAATAGTTCAGACTGAGTATGACTCAGTAAACAAGCAGGTTAATCTTCTGCATTTCCTTTGCCAGGACACCATCTTTTTAACTTGATGAACGACTGACAGGAACCAGTTGTTTGGCACACATCTGTAATCCCAATTACTCAGGAGACTGAGGCAGGAAAATTGGGAGTCAGACACCAGCTTGAGTCTAGCCTGAACTACACCTACATAGCAAGACCCTATCAAAGAGACGGTGGAGGCAGCGGAGGGGGGGGGGAGAAGAAGGGAGGGAAGGAAACTACTGATAGATGAGCTCCATCAATCCAAGAAAGAGAAAGAATATAACAAAGAAAAAGGCAACTGTATGCCCAGGAGAATAGTATGCTGAAGTCTCAACACGGCAGGTTGTTGACCTACAAAGTAACTGACCACAAAAAGAGGAATATCTACCAGGGAAAATATGGAACCAAGAAAGCACCTACTCACATAGACTGACTGTTTGAGTTTGGATCTGGAATGTCCTCCAAAGGCCCTCAGCTGGATGCTACTGGGAGATGGTGGAATCTCTGAAAGATGGGGTCTACTGGAACAATAGGTCACCGGGGCATGCCCTTCAGTGGACACTCAGGAAGGATCCCAGTGCTTTCATGTCTTTGTTTGACAGCCACCATGAAATGAGAGGACCTCCTCTGCTACGTGCTCCCACTACGACATGCTGTACCACCCCCTCTGCTACGTGCTCCCACTAGGACATGCTGTACCACCCCCTCTGCTACGTGCTCCCACTATGACATGCTGTACCACCCCTCTGCTACATGCTCCCACTATGACATGCTGTACCACCCCCTCTGCTACGTGCTCCCACTATCACATGCTGTACCACCCCCTCTGCTACGTGCTCCCACTATGACATGTTGTACCACCCCCTCTGCTACGTGCTCCCACTATCACATGCTGTACCACCCCCTCTGCTACATGCTCCCACTATCACATGCTGTACAACCCCCTCTGCTATGTGTTTCCACTACATCATGTTGTAGCATCACAGGCCCAAAACAGCAAACAAAAAGTGACAGTGGCCTGACCTCTGACAAATGACCAAATAAACCCTTTTATTTTTATTTGCTTTTAATTTTTATTCTATGTGTATGAGTTCTTTGTACGCATGTATGTAAGTGCACCATGTGTGTGCGATGCCTACAGAAGCCAGAAGGGGGTGTCAAATCCCTTGGAACTGGAATTATGGTTGGTTGTGAGCCACCATTTGGGTGTGGGAACTGAACCTGGGTCCTCTGCAAGAGCAGCCAGTTCTCTTAACCACTGACCCATCGCTCCAGTCCCCTCCCTTTTATAATTTACTTACCTTAGGTAGAAAATTTTACTGAGACACTAGCAGAGGTATAAGAATTAGCAATATGTGCAAAGAAAAACAAGCAAATTGAAAAGAAATTTTTAACATCAATTAAACCATAAAAGTAAAAAGAAACCAAAATCCTAGTGCACTTCATACATGAATGACATGTGCACAGGCATAATGAAGCAAAAACTAAACACAGGCTTAACAGAACTTTGGGAGGAGGGCGTAGGAGTGCTAAGTCCTCACGTGGAGTAATAGGAAGAAATAAGAGAACATCTAAAATTGATCAAAAGATGATAGTATCTGCACAGTGTTTTGGAAATGTGGAGATTCATGAATGTCAGTGCAAATGTCTACGAAGAAGGGTTACTGAAGAAAGACAGGGAAGGATCGTTATCTTCGTGAACTTTTAAAAAATTATTAGACTTTTAAAATGTATATTACTTGATAAAAGAAAACAAAAAAGAGAGATTAAGTGTTTACAACACACTTGGTATGCGGGTAAACATTTCATAATCAGTTCATGGGGGAGGAGTACAACCCTTATTTACTTTTGCCAATTTCTATGGTGTAAATATTCCCACCATGGCTATAAATATCCCTCCACTAGCATGCAACGTTCCTAATTTTTTAAGTGTTTTATTTTTATTTTAGTGAATGAGTGTATTGCCTGCATGTGTGTAAGTGAGCCCCTGTCATACAATGCCCACAGAGGTCAGAAGGTGTTGGATTTCCTTGGAACTGGAGTTAAGTTAGGGATGGTTGTCAGCCACCATGTGGGTGCTGGGAATCAAATCTGGGTCCTCTGCAAGAGCAGCCAGTGCTCTTAACTACTGAGCCATCGCTCCAGCTCCAACGTTCCTAAATTTTTAACAATGGGTCAGTAAGAGCCAAGTCAGCACACTCCTGACCACAATCAATTTCCCTGGTTCTATGCACTGTGTATCAAGGAAAGGCCAAGTGCCGTCTGACAACCACGCCAGAGCTCCAGAACCCAAGCCCAGAAGCCACTCCCACTGCCACTGTGTTTGGGCTCCACCACCACCTCTGTCCATCATCTCCCAAAACAAACGAGGCACACATGCCACCTCTCCTCTCTGCTACCCACCCAACCCATTCTCACACAGTTGCCAAGGCATGCAGAACGGGAGCAGGGCTTATCCCTGGGCTTTTTGAACAATTAACCAACTCCCCTCTTCACTTGCTGATTTTACTCAGAGAAGCCAATGTCCCATCCCCAGAGTTTGTTTTGCTGCCTGGGGATAGGATATATAGCAACATCTTTGATATTTTCTAAATCCTACCACTACAGAAGACCCTAAAGGCACTTGCATTTAACAGAGATTTTTTCCAGGAAAATCAAGTACAGGTAATATAAAAACACAGCCATGCCTTTCTTTAAGTGAGCCTGTATCTTCCTGTATCTCTCTTCCACTCAAACCAAAACAAGCCATCCCAGACCCATCCCTCCATCTCTCTAGCAACCTCTACTTTTCATAAATTCTCTATGCCAGCTGGCCTATGTACAGAAGGTTACTGTCAAAATGCAGAAGCCAATATCCCTACAGCTGGAAATGGAGTCAGCCACATCGCCTCTACATGGAAAACGTTCCCCAACACTGGGAGAAGAGACAAAAAGGCTAGCTCAGTTATACAAGGACAGGCCAACTTCCATCTGACAACCAAGCCATTATACAGCTATTTAATAACAACACCTGTTGGGTGTGGTGGCCCTGGCTTTTAATCCCAGCACTCAGGAGGTAGAGGCAGGCAGATCTCTGTGAGTTTGAGGCCAGCCTCGTCTCTATAAGGAGTCTAGGCCAGCTGTGGCTACGGGAGACCCTGTCTCAAAAAGACCAAAAATAAATAAATAATATAAATAAATAAATGAATCCACCTAACTTCTGTCCCTCATAGTGCTCTACATTTTGCAAATGTATTTGAGCACAAATTATTTCAGCTGACCCTCACAACTCTTACACGAGAAGAGTACTATTGTATTGTTCTGCAGACAAAGACCAGGGCTCAAGAGGAGGCAATTATTTGACCCAGGTCTCCCCTTTGGAAAATAGCCGGCCCCACCTCAAACTCTTGTCACACTCTCTATCTGGGTCATAATTTGGTGACAGCATGTCAGTATCAAATCCAGACCTCTTAACCCCTGAAACAAAACTTTATTCTCCTCACACCCCTGTTCTCCTGCCCACCCCCAACCCCAACTTCTGCTTTCTGTTCATTTCTGTAATAAGAGAGGGAGTTACTCAGAATCCCTACAAACTATGTTCCCTCTTTCAGCAATGCCTCTCTCCAAGAGAAGGGGGGGTGGAAGAGGGAATGGACAAAGCCACTGGGTTCATTTGGCAGGACTTGGAGTAAGAGTCTTGGGGTGTGAAGAGCCATGCCCAAAGAGGCAACCATAGAAGCCGGAATTGAGAAGCTGGAAAAAGCTGACCTGGGATTAAGCAAGAAACACGGAAGTAGGGCTCCTCGAGGAGTAAGGCATCTCAAACAGCACTACTCAGGGGGCAGGGGATGTGGCTCGGTGGTAGCACGGTGCAGCACAAGGCTCAGTCCCCATCACAAGAAAGAAGAAAGAAGGAAGAAAGTTAGGAAGGAAGGTGCTTCTCTATACAAAACCTAAAGAACCCCAAAGACTCTTGTCAGCCTACCCTACCCTAACCTCTGAAACCAGGGGCCTCCTGTACATCTGTTCTCTGAGCAGACACCACTCCCTGCCCCCAGCACTTCGGTTAGAACTGGAAAACTAGATACAGCAGCTCACTGGAAGGGCTAAGGGAGGAATTTCCCTGACCTCCTGCTCTGGTCTCTGGCCAGTTGCGATACTGGTAAAGCCCCAGCTGCAGACAAGTATGTCTGAGGGAAAGTGGTCTAAGGCAGGAGTCCAGAGAATTCCTACAAGAAAAGATAAGAGAATCGGAAGGAAGGGGAAGACCTGGGTAAGGCTGAGAACCAGAGGGGAGAACCATCGGGAAGCTGGTGAGAAAAGCCAGCTGAGTGCAAGAGACCCCGGCTGTAACCTGGCCCCACACGTCCAGCCCCACACAGCAGGCCCTTTCATCTCACAGCCAGCAGTCCTCCTCCCAGATTTCCTGGCATCCCAAGGCTAGGGCCTTCCAGAGCAGATGACACCCCAAGCCTCTGTGAAAGACTGCTTGAGAGCTGAACGAATAAGGGGCAGGGTCCTGGGTTCTGGTTCAACCCCCACCAACCCTGAGGACTTAGGGAGGCCCTTGCTCTCTCCTCCCAGTCCTAGTACTGGACACACCACACACACACACACACACACACGCACACACACACACATGCACACACACACAGTCCAGTATTCAAACAGGCAGAAGGATGGCGCCTTCCAGAGTCTTAGGGAGAAAAAAAGATGCATGTTGCAGAGGCCTCAGAAATGCAGAGCCCCAAATTCATCCACAGATATTAAGTCAGGGCTCTGAATGCTGAGGCCTGACCAGAGAAGGCTCGTGAGAGAGGCACACACAGTGGAGGTTCTCCACTGTGCACTTGAGAGACAGAAGTGACACGCAAGAGACGGGTGGGGCAGAAGAGAAAGAAGAAACCAGACGGAAGGAGCCAGGGCTGTAGATCCAGAGGTGTGGAAGGAAGGCCCAGTACCTGAAGGCCAAACTGCAGAATCCAAGTTGGGGACCTCTGGGACCACTGTCTCCTCAGGAGTGGGAGACAGGGATCTGGCTAGAAGGGACGGCTAGGAGTGGGGAGAAGTGTTTACCTTGGCCTTGCCCGTGTTCTCCCGGGGCCCCTCCAGCTGCAGCCAGAAGTAGGGGGTGTCGGGACGGCTCTGGAAGGCATTCAGCTTGACCCTGAAGATGCGCTGCACTTGCAGCCGCTGCCGGTGCACCCGGGGCTTCGATTTTGTCTGCACCATGAACCATTCCTGCGCCGGGGGTCTACCCCCCGACAAGAGCATGGCTACCCTCTCGCCCCTGGAAAACGGGAGACAAGTGTCACCCGGGTCCCAGCGTGGAGGCGCCCAGCCCCCGACCCCAGCAGCCTAGGCCACGCCCCTCCTCCCTGAGGCGCACCCCCTCCCCCCGCCACTGCCTCCTTCCTGCAGGATCGCGACCCACCCGCCGCAGCTTGGCACCCGCCCTCCCGATCTCCAGCTCCGTCTCTTTCCGAGGCTGCTCCCGCGACGAGCTCTTCCTGCCTGGGTTTGTAGCTGGGGGTGGGACCGGCCGGGCTCCTGCCGCCCTTCCTCCGCCCCGTCCCCCCTCCCCTTCCCCCTCCACCACTCAGCCAGGCCCCCTTGGATAAACTCGCTCCGTCTGCAGGGTCGCTTAAAGGGGCGCCGAGCGAAGGGAGAGGAAGGGGGAGGAGACCCGGCGGCAGGGGGGCAGGGGGAGGACGGGCTGAGAGGGTCCTGGAAGCCTCTGCCCTCCACCCAAGTTTTGTGCCCAGAGCCAGAACCCAGGAGTCAAAGTTAATTTCCTTCCAGTTCCCCCTTCCCTGGTGGAAGGAAGGGGAGGAAAGAAGAGCTCCCTCCTGCCCGCAGCTTTTCCTAAGCTCCCCTGGAGAACAGGGACCTCAGCCACCTCTTTCGCTAGAGGAAAGGGTTAAGGGAGAACAGGGTGGAGAGCCCAGGGAGGCTGGAGCTTGAAGAAACTCTGGGCTGGAGACCAAGCAGGAAGGAAAGGGTAACAGCACTGACTCCTGCCCCCCGACTCAAGTCTGAGGATAGCGTGGGACTGGCCCGCAGCCCAGACCCTGCTGAAGCCCCCCAGCGCTGGAGCGGCAAGGGGGAACTGGCTGCCAGTTTCCAGACTTGAGTTGTTTATGAGAGCCCTTTTCCAGCAGGAGTGAGTTAGGTTGTGAGGGGCCGGTGAGAGGGAGGGTCTGGTTGGTAACATAACCTCCCAAGTCTCCATCCACCCTCAGCCACAGCCAGCCTTTGGCATCAGTGGTCCAAGACTAGCCCTGGGCTGGGGCCACCTTAGAAACCCTTTCTGCCCTGAGGCACCCTCAGCACAAAGCACACCTTATACAGCCTTGTAGCCTGAAGGGGCCTGATAGAAGGCAGGGTCTGCATTGGGAGCCTCCAGGGAACTTACTTTCCAAACCAAGTCACAGTTTGACAGGCACAAGTATGCCCCTGGAGACAAAGGGCAGCTGATTTCAACTGAACATCAAGCTACTTCTAGTCTAGACTGGACTTTGCCAGTCAAGCCCCACCCACCTTTCATTCTTTTCCCTAGATCGGAATCCAGAAAAGGAAAAGGTGATCTGTGCAATCTGTGTTGCTCTGGCTGGCTCCCCAACCTGCCCCTCTCAGGGGCCTTAAGGGGCCTTGAAAGGCCTTGAAGTCATAGGTCCTCAGGGTGAGCCCTGCCTTTCCCCACCCTTACCACCTCTAATTGTGCCTTCTTGCTGGCAGGTATGGCAGTTCCAGCATTCAGGAGGCCGAGGCAGGACACTGAAGTAGAACACTCCAAGGGGAATGAGAGTTGTGCTTCGGTTTCCCCTAGCAAGGCCACAACTGCACAACCTTCTCCCCACCCCCGTGAATGAGTGCATAATTCTTTTTGCCCTTTTCCAACTGTGGATCCCAAGCCCAGTGGATGTTCTCAAGGTTTAATGCTAAATTCAAAGAGGGTGTGTGGAGAGCAGGAAGACCCCAAGTTTAGGAGCAGATGCTTCATAAATGGATAAAAGAAAGCAAATTACTTAAACTCTGTGTCTCTATTGCCTAGGCTGAAAAATATTAGGATAATAGGGGCTGAAGGAATGGCTCAGTGGTGAAGACCACTGACTGCTCTTGCAGAGGACCTGAGTTCGATTCCCAGCACCCACATGGTGGCTAACAATTGTCCTAACTCCATTTTCAGGGGGCCAGACCCTCTTCTGGCCTCTGCGGGCATTGCATGACACAGGTGCATTTATATGCATGCAGACAATATACCCATACACATAAAATAACAATAACAAATAACTTTTTTAAATAGTTTAAAATAGTCTTAGAGCATGAGTTTAAAGTCAAACCACACAGGTAAAGAGCCTGGTATCACCAGGCATGGTAGTACACCTTTAATCCCAGCACTCAAGAGGCAGAGGCAGGAGGATGGTTTTGCGAGGCAGGCCTGGGGCTACATAGTAAGACCCTCCCTGCCAAAAAATAAAACAAAACAAAGCAAAAGAACCCAGCACCTACTAAGTGGTCATTTCTCTTTCCCAGACCCTGTCTCTCTTCTCCAGTTTGAGTCCACAGGTCCCATACTGCCCCATAGGTCCCCTCTTTTCCTCATTCTTTCTGCTAACTTACTCTACTCCTGCTCCCTCATCCATCTACCTGGATGCAGCTGATTTGACCAGACAGCCTGAAGATCACCCCACTTTGTCAACAATGAGCTGTGAGCCCTCAAGCAGGTCGCTAAATCTCTTGGTCACTTGGTACTTCCTCATCTTAATGTATTACTTAGTCCGAAGTCATTCAATAATTTCAACACCTATTTTTTTATTATTTGCTATGAGCCAGGCCCTGGGGGTACAGTATCTCCTTGTCCTGTGGAATGTAGAAAGAAAAAGAGGAAGGGAGGAGAGGAAGGAGGGAGGGAGGAAAAAAGGGAGACAGGGAGGGGACATAACTCATTGGCCTTTATTTAGCATGTGAGGCCTTGGGTTCAATCCCCAGCACTACAAAAAGAAGAAAAAAAAAAAAAAAAAAAGGGGGGTGGGGGGAATTGTAGAGGGGTTGGGGGAAAGGGGAAACCGTGATTTCAGGAAGTGATACTACATGGGAAAAAGAACAGCATGAAGAGTGCCTTGATGGGGCCCCTCTGGCAGGCAGACAAGGACAAACAAGAATGTGGGCTCTGAGGTAGCAAGAATCTAAACTCAACTATTTTTTTTTTTCTTTTTATATAGCGCTGACTGGCCTAGAACTCACTATATGTTCTGGCTGGTCTTGAGTTTACAACGGTCCTGTTGTAAACTGGGAATCCTCAACCTCTCTTAACAATTTTTTTTTTTTTTTAGTGTGTATGAGTGTATTGCCTGAATGTGTATAAATGCACCTATGTCGTGCAATGCCCACAGAGGCCAGAAGGCATCGGATTCCCTGGAACTGGAGTCATGGATGATTGTTAGCCATCATGTGGGTGCCGGGAATTGAGCCCAGGTCCTCTGCAAGAACAGTCAGTGCTCTTAACTGCTGCACCATCTCTCCAGCCCCCTCTTAACAATTTTTGATCCAAGTACCTCCCCAGCTTCAATTTAAATACGTTCATTAATTCTTTACCTACAACAGTAAGTTAAAAGTTGTTTGTGCTGGAGACCTCCTGAAACCTATCCCAAATATATCTTCCTAACCTAGATTAGAAGGATACTAGCAAGAATTAGACAGGTATCTAGACATGTCTGGCACCAGGTAATTCGCCCTGCCAGGAATCTGTTGGCATGAGAAATGAGAGGCCTCAAAAGAGAAAGATCATCATGATTAGAGGAGGGACCTGTACTGGACACTGATAGATTCTTATCCCTCCAAAACTTCATAAGTTCTGTCACTCAAATACCTAGCCCAGATCCACACCCATCCAGGTTCCTGGGGATAGGGCAGGGAGCTTTTAGAACTGGGTGGCCCTGCCTGGAATCTTTCTGTGACAGTAACCCAGAAAAGAGACAGGCATCTCCAAGACTTTGCTATAGTTCCTAAGCATCTATCATTAGGTTGGGGGTATGGGGAGACTCCCATTAGAGCAGCAATGGCTTCCTAGTGACACCCAGAATTGTCAGATCCTAAGGTTATTACAAACAAAAGATGGAGGCAAGAGCCAAGGGAACCGGTTACTGCTCTGTAGGTCACTGAATGTGGTGGCTTCCCCAGGGAACCAGTTACTTTTCTATACATAACTGAATGTGGTGGTTTCCCCAGAAGGGTCGGCACCTGGGTAGGAAGCATAGTGTTCTCAAAAGGGATACCCAAGGCCGGGCGTAGTGGTGCACGCCTTTAATCCTAGCACTTGAGAGGCAGAGGCAGGAGGATGTTTGTGAGTTCAAGGCCAGCCTGGTCTACATAGTGAGTTCCAGGACAGCTGGGGCTACAGGGAGACCCTGTCTCAAAAAGACAAAAAAAAAGGGGGGGGATACCCAAAGGAAGTTTAAAGAAGGAATCTCGCCAAGCATGGTGGGTGGCTCCTGCCTGTAATCCAACACTTGGGAGGTAGAGGCAAGAGGATCAGAATTTCAGGATCATCCCTCAGCTGCAGAGCAGGTCAGAGGCCAGCCTGGGCTGCATGAGACACTGTCTCAGTAAACAATCTCTTATGGGGAACACCAGTAGGACACTTAGTGCTTTAGGGGTTATTACCAGAGTGAAGTTCTTACCATCTGGAGGCCAGAAGGGGAAATGGGAAGAATGGTGACTTGAGCAAGAGTTGGAGCTATTAGAAGAAGGCCACAAAATGGACGCTGTCAGCTTAGGTGAAGACACACAGCCACTGCCCACCTGTGGCCCAGCATGGAGGGAGCCGTCTTCCAATTTCAAGAACTGGCCAAACCCAACAGAAGCCAAATGGCAAGGAAGTAGGGTTGAGGTAATCCTTTGAGGTCAACTTCTCAAGCACAGAATGACAGAAAAAGTCAAAAGTACACAGAGAATACTCAGCACCTGCCCCCTTCATCCCTTAACAGCCACAAGCTGATGAGGTCCAAGGGTAGTTATGCTGACGTCTTCTACTCTTCCCCTCACAAACACCCTCACTTTGGAGTAGGAGTGAATGTGCCTGCAGGCCCGTTCAGAACAGACGACTTCGTCTCCAAAACCGGAAAACAAGCAAACAATGACCAAAACAAACAAACAAACAAAAAAAACAAAACAAAAAAGAAGATATTTAAATGTATTAATGGCAAAGACAATCTTTCTATCAGCGGAGCTAAGATGCATTTTTTAAAATAACTGATCTTATGACAATTGGGTAACCTTCTGAACTAAAACAAAAAAGAATCGTATTTAACAATACACTCAAAAACAAATTTCTAAATTAAATAAGGTCAGTAGGAGCTTGACGTGGTAGTATACACCTGTAATCCCAGCACTTTCCAGGCCAAAAGATGACTATCAGGAGTTTGAGGCCAGCAAAGCACAGTAAGACCTTGTTTCAGAATAGGAGAAGGAGGGTGGAAGAGGAAGAGAGGAGGGAGGGAGGGAGGGAGGGAGGGAGAAAGGAGGAGCTGGCCTCACCCACCACGGACATCTATGACACACTGACCCAAATCAGCCCTCTAAGATATTGAAAAAAAAAAAAAAGACATAAAGATGAACTTGAGGAAGCCAAGAGCCTAGAAAAAGGACTGGAAGGAACCTTCCAACCTCCTGCATCTACCACCCACCCCCAGAGGTACCATTAGGATGTATTGGTGTCCCTACAAAGCAGAGACTTCAGGGGACTTCCTTGCATAGAGCCCGGTCAAGACCCTGGAAGGGATCAGCAATGTGTTTTCATAGTCCAATGGTTTGAAAAAAATTTTTTTTTATTTTAACCACAATTTGTGTCGTGTCCCATCTCCCCGCCCCCCTTCCCGGTTGCGTCTCCAGGCACTGGAGTAGCCATGGGAATTCTGAGAATCTCACTGAGGGCAAAGTAGGCTGGAGATGTCACACTTAGTATCAGCTTAGTGGATGTACACGTGGTTTTGCAGGAACTTCACACAGAGTTAAGCTACTGCTTGTCTGTCCTGTGCTGAAGTGCCTGACGGGAATATCCCTGCCACTCGACACGGCTGCCACCTCACCTGGGATGGCCACGAACTGCATTTCAGGTAGTTAATTAATTTTTTGAAGTACCATACTATTTTTCTGAGTTCTAAGGTATTCATGGCATGTTTTAATTTTCAAAATATAATTTGTTTGTTTTGCTATTTTTATGCTAAAATTAAAGATAAAATACAGGATACCATGCTAATTTCTACCTTTAAAAATATTTTATTATGGCAGGACGTGAAGGTGCACACCTTTAGTCCCAGTACTTGGGAGGCAGAGGCAGGTGGATCTCTGTGAGTTCAAGGTCAGCCTGGTCTACATACCAAGTTCCAGGCCAGCTGGGGCTACAAAGAGACTCTGTCTCAAAAATATTTTTTTATTATTATGGTGTATGTGTGATTGGGAGTGCTCTGTGCCATAACATACAAATGGAAGTCAGAAGACAATTCTTGAGAGTCGATTCTTTCCTTCCATTGTGGGTTCCAGGGATTAAAGTCATGTTTTAGACTTTCACAGGAAGTACTTTTACTGGCTATTAACCCTCCCTTCCTCTCTTCCTTCCTTCCTCCCTTTTTCCCTTCCTCCCTTTTTCCTTTCCTCCCTTTCTCCCTTCCTCCCTTCCTTTCTTTCCTTTTGGAGACAGATCTCATGTAGCCCAGGCTATCCTCAGTCTCCCTATGTAGCCAAGGATAACTTGAACCACTAATCCTTCTGTCTCTACCTAAGTACTGGGATTACTGCAGCCTGATTCATTTGGTGCTGGGAATTGAACTCAGGGCTTTGTATTTGCTAAGCAAGCATTTACCAACTAATCCACATCCTCAGCCCCTTACTTTTTTTTTAAAGAGAGAGAGAGAGAGAGAGAGAGAGAGAGAGAGAGAGAGAGAGAGAGAGCACTATGAGGAATGTCCTTGCCATGCCTTAGGAGTCTAGTTCATAGGTTAGATAGCCTGACTTGCTTGTCTGTAGTCCCCC